TTACTGTTAATATCATCGTTAATATTACCGTTTGGGGTGTAGGAATCGAGCATGCTGAGTGTCCGGCGGTGGCAGGTTGCAGCATGAACTCCACCACCTTCTTGTACCTTTCGAGATTTGCTGGGCCAGTTCAGACAGGTTCCTGAGGCCTTACACTTACATTGCAGTGAGGCACATCCGCTGCAAGGCGGATGAAGCCCAAAATGCAAAACAGAACAGATCACCAGAATTGTGGTTGCTGCCGCTACTGCACAACCGCTCTACATTGGAACTAAGTACAGTCGTGCAACATAACTACTGCGAAATTCCTCCTACTTATCTATGCGTCTACGGATCCACCTACGAGCTACCTGCCATCCATCCATCCATCCGTCCGTCCATCCGTCCATCCGTCTATCCATCCAGCCATCCCTACATGCATACCTGCATACATGCATACTGTACGTGCGTACTTGCGTGTGATGCGTCCCTGCATGTACAATTGCACAATTTTCAATCGCAAGCATGCATACCGGCACCGACATGCCAATGCCCAAGCTTTTTGACTGAATACATACATGTAGGCAGGCAGACATCGTAGCGAATTGATGCGCCGTCTTTATCTGCTTTGAACTATACAGTTACTATGGGTAAGCACACCAGCAACTGTACGGCTGATGATCTGAATCCTGCATTACCCATATTGGAAAATATACCATAATTCCCATAGTCTAGGGTCGTTAAGCTAATGCAGGGTTTATATCATCAACTGTGAAGGCGGTCCAATGGACCGACATGTTGCACAAGGCTGTCGACGGGAACTAAGTCCTTCCACGGGCCTAAAATCAAAACCCGAAGACCCTGATTTATGGTTTAGGGTTTAGGGTTCCTAGATTCTGAACCCTTACCGTTAATCCCTGAACCCCAGACCTTGAAACCCAACACCATGTTTGCATTCGGTGCCAGCACTCCCAAAAAGGAACTTCTTCCTGATAAGCCCCAGCACCTCTTGATGTGATATGGTTCTTTGTTGCTTGACTGGACCTTGGGGTATTACAGGGTTCAGAAAGGTGTGCAATCAACCCTAAACGCTTCACCGGTACAGCCTAAACCTACAAACCCTACACTATAAAACTCCCAAATCCCTTAACGCCCTACACCCCAATGCCAAAATGAACCCTTCAAGAACCCTTTGAAGGAACTCTATTCCTATAAAGCCCTTTAAAGTAGGGGCACTCAAACTTCCGGAAGAGATATTCGACCTTGTTCTCACGCTTCCTGCCCGGAGGAGTGGGGCAGCTGGGCAGCTAACAACCCTAAACCCTTCCGGGTTTGGGCTCAGGGCTTGGGGTTTAGAGTTTAGGGTTTTGGGGCGTCGGGTCTTGGATTTAGTGTGCAAAGGTTTTAAGCCATGGGCTCTACCTGAGTTGGCTTGGGGGGTGATGGAGCTTCTGGCCTGAACCCATCCTGAGAGGGTTCAGGTCAAACCTGTCTTCGGAACCTCCCTGAACTCTAGGCCCCAAACCCTAAACCCTAAACCCTAAACCCCAAAACCCTAAACCCTAAACCGTGCCCCAAGCCCTCAACAGACCCATCTAGTCTTAAACCCTGAAACCTCACGAACCTGAAGCAGGAAGCCCGGGACTGCCTCAAAACGAAAGTACATGCACCGCTTATGGCTAAGCCTCTAAACCTTAATACGCTTACTTTGGTTCCTGTTACTCTGAATACGCTTCGATTGATACCTGCTACTCCTACTATCCTAAACCCAGAAACCCAAACCCTAAACCCTTATGGTCCTCATACGTTTAGACTACGCGCAATGTATCCCGAAACCCTATTCTTGTGAACAAAGCCCCGATGCTAAACCCTCATAGAAACCCTGCTAGTAACCCCTTCGAACATGTTTAAGGAACCCAATTGCAAGCATCAAAGGCTCCTAAAACTGGCCCGATAATCGTATAGGGGTTTACACAACTACCAATTTCAACAAAAAATGGCGAGGTTCCTTGTTATAACACTACTACACTGTACCCCATACCTTTTTCTACGTTCTACGGGCCCTGTATTTGGGCTGGAGCGGTTCCTCCTCGTCTGAGGGCGCTCGATGACCTCGGGCGCATGGTGTCGAAGGGACAAGGATGCCATGACTCTAACGTACGCCTTAACAGGGTTCCCTTAGCGGTTCTACAATGGCTCTACCAAAGAGTTCTATGATAGGCCTTAATCATTCGAAAACGGCATCGGGGAAATCTTATACTAGACCAGAATTGCAAAAAGGGACCCGACGGAATAACATTGGTAATTGTTCAAGCTCCTACTTTAGCAACAAAATTTAGCAAAAAACAAACATCAAGGGTTTAGGGAGTTTAGGGTTTTGGGCTTGGGGTCGTGGGTTTAGCCTTGAGGGTTTTGGTTGTGGGTCGGGGTAGCCAAGATTGTAATTGTGGAAACTCAATGGCATGTACAGGTGGGACCTTCGAATTTCTTTCGCATGATATTCGCTGCTCTCAACCCCACACCTGGAACCCTGAAGCCCAAAAATCATAAGCTCAGCCAGCGACTACAATCCACAACAATCATGAGCATGTCAGTCGTAAAGCAACGAAAATGTTGCTGCACTACTTCTCCTGATCATGGTGAACATGGTAGCTATGGCCGCACAAACATTCCGAAGAAAAGAGTGACCGTATTCTTTGATTACATTACCAGGTGGCTAGTTACACCCTAAACCCTAAAGCCTAAACCCAAAACCCAAATCCCTAAACCCTAAACCCAAAACCCCAAACCCTAAAGCCTAAACCCTCGATGGCCAGGGCCAGCCTCATCCTCCTCCTCAGGCTTGTGGAGGTGGCCTCGCAGGTAGCCTTCCACAAGGCTTTCTGCCGCGTGGCTGCTGAGGCTTCGGGGTCTTTACAGGCTCATGGGACGTAGTAAGGTTTTCAGTATACTATAAGCACAGTTACCTTACTTGTAGGCACCTTAGTTACCTTACCTTTAGTTGCCTTACTGATAACCCTACTTACTAAGCCCCCATGGTCCCTTAAGTCTGGTTCAGGAGTTCGATTGTATCACCGCGAACGAAGCATGGAAAGGCCTGTCGAAGCCTTATCTTAAAAAAAACTTGCCTGAATCATAAATCATATAAAACACCAGAGAATGTTAGAAATTATTGTTTTTATTGTATATATATATATATATATATATATTCGGAACCTCCTAGACATTCAGTGACAAATCTGCACCTGAATGCTCACCCTAAAACCTGAACCCTAAACCCTAAACCCTCAGGACCTGAAGCCAGAACACCCAAAGGCTCCCTAAACCCCTGAAGCCCAAAAGCACTTCTCAAAGGGGAAAAGGAGGGACCCTTAATGGGGACCCCTACCATATAATGGGCTATATAATGGGTATATAATAGCTATATTAAGGGTATATACCTAGGGGTCCTTATTAAGGGTCCCTCCCTTTACCCTTGGAACTTCTGAACCCTCTTTGACTCTCCAACCCCCCGAAACTCCTTAACTCTCCAAGCCCCTGAACCCTCAAATCTGTGAACCCTCAAATCTGCGAACGCAACCCTAAACCCTAAACCCCTAAACCCAGAAAACCCTAAACCCCTAAACCCTAAACCTAAACCCTAAAACCTAAACCCCTAACCCTAAACCCTAAACCCTAAACCCCTAAACCCTAAACCCCTAAACCCCGAAATCCCTAAACCCTAAACCTAAACCCTAAACCCCTAACCCCTAAACCCCTAAACCCTAAATGGATGGAGATCCTGCCTTCCTCCCGCTTCCACTTCCGACTCTTCTGCAGCGTGGGTTCGTCAGACTGGGAGGGGCGCAGCACGATTGGGTTTACAGTAAACCCCATAAAGTTGGAAACCGGACTAAGGCCAAATAGTGCTGGGATTCCCTATACATTACTCTTAAGGATGGAGGCTATGGGGTTTCCAACTTTTGGGCTTCTACTGTAGGGTTTAGGGTTTAGGGGTTTAGGGGTTTAGGGTTTAGGGTTTAGGGGTTTAGGGGTTTAGGGTTTATAGGGTTTAGGGTTTAGGGTTTAAGATTTTGTAGTTGCAGGGCATTACAGGATTTTATAGGGTTCGGTGGCGCCTGAGAGGCTTTGAAAGATTCTTGAACTTCCTGAACTGCCTTCATGGATTCGTGAGCGTGTGGAAGGATCTTCGTCTGAATCCCTCTTCCTTAGGGGTTGTCCGCGCTTTGCAGCTCAGCATGCAATGAGTGGCTCTGTGGAGCTAAACTCTGTGGACTCCCGGTTAACATACATCCCGCGACAATAATGATAGGACCCATAAACCATCGATTCTCGTATCGACTTCACGAGCCAAGGCCAAAAACAGTCCAGGCGTTTCAATGACTAATGCAACCTTATCAAGGACGGAGGGGCTATGAATCGGGGATCTCAGTCAGGGCTCTGTAGACGCCCAGCTTGGGTGGCGTTGGGCCTTTCAAGAACCTCAACTTCAGAGTGCCCAAGTACTATGCTACTAGATTCCTCAGGAACAGCTCAAAACGCCTTTCTGCCTGTTGTTCCGCTCCATAGGACAAGCTGTCAAAGCATTGCGGTATCACTGAAGGACTTAGCCTCAGGTTCAAGGGTATGCGCCTCAGTGTAACTTTGTCTTTGACCAACTAACGGTTGAGACGGTTTAAGACTGTGCAACTCTGTAAACCTCAATCACAGATCGTGCATCTACAATCCCAAAAACCCCAAAGCACCAAACCCACCAAAAGCCAAAAGCCCTAAAGCGTGAGTCGGCCAGGGTTAGCCGGGCTTTGCTCGGGCGCAAACGCAACTCCGAAACTAGACGAGGAGGGCGTAAGACTAAGAACTATGATTTTCTAGTGTTTTTCAATTGGGTGGGATACCTTTACATTGATATCGACTCTCCTGTCAGGGTCTATGTCAGGGTACATTACGGTACATATGGTACATGCAAAACTCGCGAATGCCGCCTCAACTTAGACCCGCTGCATTGCTGCCACATGTGTCTGTTAATGCACAAGCTTGGGCGGGGGTGGAGGAATGCTTCTACCGAAACCACCCGAAATACTGCCTGAAATGCCCTCAAAAGCCAGGTGAGGGGCCCATTCGTCATCGTCTTTTTGCTGACCCTTGCCTTGGAGCCGCGAGCTGTTGTGAAAGCAGTTTAGGTTTAGGGTTGATGGGGATCCGTAAGGGTTCTAAAATGGCGCGTTCAGGATATAGGATCTAACAATACTTGGGTATCAGGGCTGAGGGCATCACGGTGCTTCGGGCAATTATGAGCCATGAACGGCTCCAAAGGTCCCGTGGTCACGGGTTTGCAGAACATAGGATTAAGGGTTCAGAGTTTAGGGGTATGGGTTTAGTGATTAAGTTTTAGGGACTAGGGTCAAGGGTTCAGAGTTCAGGTTTTGGGGCCTGTACATACCTTTGCCGGAAGTGTGAAAGGACACCAAAACGAGGAAGCCTGAAGGGAAGCAGGCTATGTTGTGCTGCAAACTTCAGTGTTTCCCAGAAGGTGGAGCTTTGCGGGTTAGGCAGGTTTTTTGGGTGTTGGGCCTTGAGCCGCGAGTATGCTGACCAGAGGCTCAGGCGAGTTTATCTACAACAACAACAAAAGAGAGATCATTTAGAAGCTGCCCCCACCCTGTAATAGTGACTATAAGGATTATAATAGGGCGCTCTTATATTCCTGTTATGCCACTATTACAGGGTGGGGGGCAGCTTCTAAGAGATCATGTTTTCATGGTGTCGAACTGGCGATTTGATGTTCGGGTTTGGCACCATAGCCTGAACCCTTGACTTGCGAAGGACCTTTTTTTCTTGAATAGGAAGACTGCGGTTGCAGCAGGGTTTATGGTTTATGGTCTCTCTTTCCGGAGAATGCTGCGGTGCAAAACTATGAGGACTACACCCATGCCTATGCTTAGAGGATCATGGGACTTAGTAAGTAGGTTATAACTGGGGTTATAAGTCCCCTAAGTGGGGTTATCCTAATTATAACCTACTTATAACCTTACTTACTAAGTCCCATGAGCCTTCAAGTATGCTTAGAAAGAGAAATCGCAACCAAACTTAGAACCCAAGGTCGACACAGAGACTCCAAGATCGACCTTCATATTCCCTTAATTAAGGAGTATTCCTTAGATTATAGTAGGATCCCTTAATTAAGGAGTATTCCTTACATTATAGTAGGATCCCTTAATTAAGGAGTATTTTTTTAGATTAGAGTAGGGTCCCTAGTAAGATTTAAGGAAGACTTCCTTTTATGAAGGGACCTTGGAGCCTCTGAGGACGTTGAGGGCTTTACGTTTCATGGGCTAGGGCCTGATACTTAATCCCTAAACTCCGGACCCTGAACCCTATGTAGTCCCTAAAACTTAATCCCTAAACCCTTATCCCTAAACTCCGAGCCCTGAACCCTATGTAGTCCCTAAAACTTAATCCCTAAACCCTTACCCCTAAACCCCGAACCCTGAACCCTATGTAGTCCCTAAAACTTAATCCCTAAACCCTTATCCCTAAACTCCGAACCCTGAACCCATGTAGTCCCTAAAACTTAATCCCTAAACCCTTATCCCTAAACCCCGAACCCTGAACCCTATGTAGTCCCTAAAACTTAATCCCTAAAACCTTATCCCTAAACTCCGAGCCCTGAACTCTATGTAGTCCCTAAAACTTGATCCCTAAACCCTTACCCCTAAACTCCGAACCCTGAACCCTATGTAGTCCCTAAAACTTAATCCCTAAACCCTTATCCCTAAACTCCGAACCCTGAACCCTATGTAGTCCCTAAAACTTAATCCCTAAACCCTTATCCCTAAATTCCGAACCCTTAACCTTGAACCCCTAAACCCTAAACCCTAAACCCTAAACCCCGAAACCCCTAACCCTAAACCCTTAACCCTAAACCCTAAACCCCTAGACCCTAACCCTAAACCCTAAACCCCTAAACCCTAAGGAACTTTAAACTACCTTGCTACGAGCTGCCATCCACGCGGTGAATGCGTTTCGGCTTTGCCTGGGATGAGTAGGGATAAATAGGACCTTAAAAGGGTTTAAGGTTCATATACCAACTCCCTGACCTAAATTCCCACGCGGCCTAAGTACATTCATGTCTTCCTTAAGGACGAAATGAACCCTAAAAGGGTTTAAGGTTCATATACCATATAGGGATTCATAGTATATGGAAAGGGCCCCTACTTTTAATGGTCATTTGGTCCTTTAGGGATGTGGGAGTTTCCGAAGATGGGGACCCTAGTATCCCATAAGGGTTCCTTCAAGGGATCTGTAAGGATTCTAAAAGGGTTTAGGGTGTAAGGGTCCATGTGGGAGTTTCCGAATCTAGGGACCCTAATATAGCCCCCCAAATAGTAGGATCCTTATTATGAGGAGCCCAAAATCAGGTACTCTAATTTTCGGAAACTCCCGTGTGGGAGTCTGGCATCTGGGCTTGTAGAGTCAGAGGGTTCAAAAGGTTGAAAACAGGTTTAGGGATTTTAGTGTTTAAACGAAGGGTTCTCTAAAAGGGTTATAGAAAGGCTCTATGGAGGTGCAGGATATGGGGTTGTGGGTTCAGGAATTCGAATTTGGTCTTTGGGGTCTTGGGTATGAAGCGGCACCTTGATCAGCAAAAATCAGAATATTCAATAGTCTATAGTCTATAGTGCATTTAGAACGACATCGAATTTCGAACCCTCCCAATCCTTGAGTTTCAAATTCAATCCCAGTAAAAGCTTTGGATCCCAAGTTTTTAGGGTTTAAGCTTTGTAAAGTTTTACCCGTTGTTGCAACGTTTCCTCGGTCTTTTAGGGTTTGGGGTCTTGGGATCTAGGGTAACCCAAGAGGATGGTGCTGGGGCTGGCTTCCAGCTCGGCGAGCTGTCGTAAACCCCCCGGCCGTCCGTACCTATGCACAACAGAAGAGCCCACGGAATCCGGTTTAGGGTTTGACGATGTAGGTGCTTGGGGTGTAAGGCTTATCAAGTTGCTATTAAAGGTGTAGGGTTTAAGGGTTTAGGGTTCTAAGGGTTCTTATCGAAGGTGTAGGGTTTAGGCTTAGGGGCCTCCGAGATTCACGCGTATGAACCGGGATCCAACCTCCAGGCGTTCCTGAGTGCGGCCCCTTCAAACACCTAAGAGGTCTGCTCCCTTTTGGTGCACAAACCCAGAGCCTCGAGTGCTAAGATCGACGAATCGCGAGACCCCTGCAGTTGCTTGCCTAGACAGGTTTAGGGTTTAATTAGGGGTTTAGGGTATAAGGATTTTGGGTTTAAGGGTTCAGAGTTTAGGGTTTCTAGTCCATGGTTGGGGGAGAGTAGCAAATACTTCAAAGCTGATTCCTTCTTGGGTCTTAAGTACCCACCGAATGTAAAATGTTACCCGACTAAAGGGAACTCCAGAAAGTTGGAATATGGATTAATGGTAGGATCCCCTGTAATTTACCTTACAGGGGTTACGATAATGATATTCCAACTTTCTGGCTTCTACTGTACACGGCTTAGAGCTGAGGGAGCACAGAATCCGACAGCTTCATCCGTCAGGCGCTCTCCAGTTTACCCATAGGCCCCAAAGTAGTTCCTTTTTGGGGTTCATATATAGAATCCTATAAGGTAATCCCAAAAAGGAAATGAGTTTCGCATTCTACATGCCAAGAACTGAGAGCCGGCACCCGGACTCGACCCGCTCCCTCCCTCTTATTTTCCGACTTCTCGGGTATCATGGGGAACTAAAGGTTAACCTTTTTGGTTATACTGGGATTATATAGGGACTATGACTTTACTACCCAAATACAGGCTAAAGGTTACCTACTCGACTACTGGGCCCTCCCTCTTAATTTGAAGAACCCCGAATCACCCAACAAAGGCAGGTCAGCTGCAAGCTGTCCAGTTTCCAGGGGCTGGCGCAGGGAGAGCTTTCGGGTTAGAGTTTAGGGCTCGCTTTTGAGGATTCGGTTTCCGGAGGCCTCAAAAGGTGGGATGAAGGTAGGTGGGACATTCCCAATGAGAGTCCTTATAAAACGGATCCTTGATCCTGCCTCCCTTCATCCCACCTGTTGAGGCCTCCGTGGTTTCGGCTTTCGGATCCATCAGACATGTTGCCGCTACGATTTGGGGATAGGGTGTTGAGCTTGAATCTTTCGCACGTTGAGGGTCCAGGTTTTGAGGTTGCGGGCTTTAGGGTTTTTGATGGTCTGTGGCTTCGGGCTTTAGGCTTTCAGGGTTTAGGGCCAGCCCTCTAGGTTCCAATATCCCTTAGTTAAGGAATATACCTTAAATCACATTCGGGATCCTACCATAATTTAAGGAATAGTCCTTAATTAAGGGATATTGGCGTCTCTGGGAACAGAGCATGCTCAGGCACGTTTTGGCTTTGGATTCTGGGTTTAGGGCAAAGATTCCCAACCACTAGAAACCTTTAAGACCTCTGAGGGCTCCTTGCGGGATTTAGGGTTTAGGGTTTAGGGTTTAGGGTGCTTCCCTTTCAGGGCTCTTGTAAGGGATCTGTAAACTAGGATGCCCAGTAACCTAGGAACAGAAAGGGCTCCCTTTCTGGTATTGCATAAGGAACCTAGGACTACAAAAAGGGAATATGGGTACTACTGGGCATCCTAGTTTAAGGGCTCTTGTAAGGGATCTATAAAGGCTGCCATTGTCGGATCTGAGCCATGAAAGAACCTTTTTAGCGCTTCGTTTTGAAGGATGTTCTAAGACGATTGTTTCAGGACTTCTACAAACAACCTAGCCCCCGATTCCGAAACCCAAAGCCTAAAACCTTGAAGCCGAAACCAAGCTTTAAGAATCTAACCTGCCCTGCAGAACCCGGATGAGCATTTGTAGACATTGAACCCCAAGCACTCTCCGCTCTTTGACTTTGATCCCAAACATCCGAAACTTCAACAAACCGAAGCCAAACCTACCTCCTGAAGTCCTAAATCCTACCCCCAAACCCCGAAAACCTAAACCTAGTAAGCCAGGTAACCGTTAACTAATGCTAAACTTAGCCCTGCCTTCTTCTGGATCGGCACCTGTCGAGGGTTCAGTGTTTAGGGTTCAGGGCTAAAGGTTTTTCGGGTCTAGGCGATTAGGTTTACGGGCTTGGGCTTTAGGGCCGGCGTTTGGGAGTTGGGGTCTAGGACGGGGCTTGGAGTTTAGGGTTAGTTTAGGGCAGCCGGTCAGTGGCAGAGTGACCTTAGATCAGCCTTACCTTAACCCTAAAGAGCCTACCTTTTTAGGATTCCTTATTATGCTTTCTTCTTATAAGTCCTTACAAATGTAGGTTCCTCGGGGTTAAGGTACTGCATGCTCAAGCTTCACGCAGTGACGTCGAGCGCGACTCGGAAAGGCAACTGACACTATAGTGCTAGTGACGTCCACACGCAGTCGCAACGTAGTAACACGTTGAACAACACACGGTCTACTGCACTAAACAGCGAGAAAAGGACAAGTAGCGCGTAGACATGGCTGGCAGCACTGGCACTGCTAGTGCCACCACTAATCGCATTACCCGCATCCCCGGCAAAAACCAACAATGACAATACCACATCGAATGCTGCGAAAAGCATCACGACCGCAGCGATAATTTTTAAAAACTAATGAAAGAACCCAACTGAATAATGTCTTCTTCAAGAACACCAGAAATATATAGTGACAAAAACGCTTCAACAACAAGACTGCTTCACACCTAAGCAAAGTTTCAGAGGGTAGTACACAACATGCCGATGCCATAGGCAAAACGATGAATGACAATAACAGGCTGACAGTAGCTGTTCTGCACTAATACAAGTCTAAATACTATTAAACTATTGCGATTGTTCTTGATGTTCTTATTGCTTTGTTACACGTATCCTCAGTGTCATAGTAACTGTCGCTACTTCGGGTATACACGGCCACATAAGTCCGAAACCTGAATCCAAATGGCTGCTATGATGCGGATGATGACACTAATTGTCCCTAAACCCTGATTCCTAAACCCTAAGCCCTACACTCTCATCCCTAAACAATAATCCCTAAACCCTAAACCCCAAACCCGAAAACATAATCTGCTTCAAGAAACGCCTGGGCCGCCTGACGTCTCACAAAATTTGAAGACCCATACTCCCGAAACCATCCAAAACCCTACCCAATGCCTCTTGATTAAAGAACATAGCATAGGTATAGAGTTTTTTGAGGGCCTCTTGCAACTGCACTAGAGGATAGTTTAGCGTTTAGGGCATAGGGTTTCGGGTTGAAGGCAACCTATACGGGACATCATATTATGATTTAAGCTCTATTCCTAAATTAAGGGGTCTTGGGCTCTCTAGGCCTGTGGCCTAAACCCTGGATACTGCCCCCATACACTAACAGTCTATAATAGGGCTACTATTAAGGGCCTAATATATCTATATTATGAATATTATCCAGTTGTTACTGAGTGGGGGCAGTATCCAACCTAAACCCTAAACCAGACCCCGAGGCTTAAAGGCTTAGAGCTCCCTCAGACTGCCTAAACCGAAAGCTCCGAGGACTCAACCCCCAAAACCGATATGAAAACCCTAAACCCTAAAACCCTAAATTTTAAACCCTAAACCCTAAAAACCCTAAACTTTAAACCCTAAACCCTAAACCCCCCTTAGCCCTAAAACCCTAACTTTAACCCCTAAACCCTAAACTTAAGCCCCACATGCCCCAAAGCGACAGCAGCGAGTGCCTTGCGACTTCGCAAGAGCCAGCTCCCATCTTCTAGCCCTACCTCGGGGATTACCGGATTTGCAGAGACCACTTAGGGGTTCCTTTCAGGGCTCCTTTAAAGGAACCCCTTTCCCAGAGAGCCTGATACCCCTTAATTAAGGAATCTAGCGTTAAGTTAGGGCTCTTTTGAGGGCTTTAGAAGAGCTTTTATAGGGCATAAACCCCTTAATTCAGGAATATGTCTTGAACTACAAGGGGCTTCATAAAGGAATATACCTTAAATCAAAAGTTGCTTCATATTAAGGTTTAGGCTATATTCCCCAAGTAAGGGGTATTGGGCTCTCCGGGTAGGGCTTTGAGGTGTACGGGTTTTGAGGTTTGGAATTAAAGGCTTAGGTCATTAGGTGTTCACGAATCTCGGGTTTAGGGGTTTAGAGGTTTGCGGTTTATGGGCTCTACTTGGAGGATCATGGGACTTAGTAAGTAGGTTATAACTGGGGTTATAAGTCCCCTAAGTGGGGCTATCCTAATTATAACCTTCTTATAACCTTACTCACTAAGTCCCATGAGCCCTTAAGTAGCAGTTTGGGGCGCTCATTTTGGGTTTGGATGTGCTGGAGGCTCGGAGTTTTTTGGCAGCTCCAGATCCCATCTCGAAAGACCGGAGAGGTGCTTTAAATCAAAGCGGAAAGGAGGGAGCCTTTAAAGGGATCTATAGGGGTTCTATAAGGGTATAGGGTTTAGGGTTTAGGGTTTTGGGGTTTAGGGGGTTTAGGGGGTTTAGGGGGTTTAAGGGGTTTAGGGGAAAAGGAGGGACCCTTAATGGGGACCCCTACCCTACAATGGGCTATATAGTGGGTATATAATAGCTATATTAAGGGCAGATGCCTAGGGGTCCTTATTAAGGGTCCCTCCTTTTACCCTTGGGTAGAATAAAACAGAAGCCGGGGTCTCACTCCATTTGATCTCGAGACGGAATGAATGGGAGATGGAGAAAATGTTGTTCACCCATCTCGCTCTAATCTCCTCAATCGAGTCCTTCTCGTGCTCAAGATACTCCCTTGGAGTCATGCTATAAGGAAGCTTCAAGAACAGGTAAGGGGTCTGATTGTCTCCCTGTGCTATGTTGCCGCCAGGCATTTTCATCCTGTAGGACGCGAGTAAAAAGATCAGCAGCGTGATGAGCATCCAAAACTTTTGGGCCAGGCCCTCAAATCCCCCAAAGTGGCCCAACCAAACTCTCTTGTACTTAAGGAAGGGCCACACGTGGTCTCGAAAATGATCATCGCGATCCGTCTGCTGGAGTGATTGCACTTCTTCAGAAAACGCCCACTCCCGCACTAATTTCGAGTCTGCAATTAAACGGTCAACGGTATTGTTCATAGGGCTTTGGAGCCCTCAACGTAAACCCGAAACCCTGAGCCCTAAACCCCAAACACTAAGCCAGGAAGTTGGGTTCTAGGGTCACCGTTCCATTGGCCTCAGGGCACTTTAAAACCCGAAACCTTTAAAACCCAAACCCTAAACCCGTAAACCCTAAACCCCTGAACCCTAAACTTTACCCTAAACTTCCAACCCTTAACACCCTCAACACCGAGCTCCTCGCGACAAAGCCGGTGTCGTCTGGACACCAAGCGATTGAAGATGCCGGGCCTGGCAACCTCAGGTGCTTCGGGATTCAAGGGGTCCCTAAACCCTAAGCCTAAACCCTAAACCTCTAAACCCTAAACCCCTAAACCCCAAACCCCAAAACCCTAACCCCTAAACCCTAAACCCCAAAACCCTAAACCCCTAAACCCTAAACCCTGAGTCCCTTGGCCGGTCCTTTTGAGCGTTCCGGGTAAGGGGTCCGAAAGGGTCCTTTCGGATGCTGGTTCGGGGTTTCAGGCTTCAGAGTCTTCAGAGTTTAGGGGTGTAGGGTTTAGGGTTTAGGGGTTTAGGGGCTTAGGGTTTAGGGGTTTTAGGGTTTAGGGGTTTAGGGTTTAGGGGTTTAGGGTTTAGTTGAGGGGTTTAGGGTTTAGGGGTTTAGGGTTTAGGGGGGTTTAGGGGTTTAGGGGTTTTTAGGGTTTAGGGTTTAGGGGTTTAGGGTTTAGGGTTTAGGGTTTAGGGGTTTAGGGTTTAGGGGTTTAGGGTTTAGGGGTTTAGGGTTTTGGGGTTTAGGGGTTTAGGGTTTTGCGTTTTGGGGGTTTAGGGGTTTAGGGTTTAGGGGTTTAGGGTTTCAGGCTTCAGGGTTTAGGATTTAGCATACAGTATACGGCTCTGGCTTAAAGAAAACCGGGGCTTCCGGTTCAGGCTACATGTTTTTTGGAGGGGAGGGGGGGGGGGTTCAGGTTCGGGTTCGGGTTCGGGTTCAGGTTTGGGATACCTTTTTGTTTGGAGGGGAGGGGGGGGGGTTCCGGTTCAGGTTCGGGTGGGGCTCGTTATGACCTAGAGAACAACGGGGTTAAGAGCATGAGCCACGGTTCGGGAGCGGCAAGCGTAAGTGCTGTGTGGAGTGTCGTACTTGAAAGCTCATGGGACTTAGTAAGTCAGGTTACAAGTAGGTTATAATTAGGATATCCCCACTTAGGGGACTTATAACCCCAATCAAAACCTACTTACTAAATCCCATGATCCTCTAAGTAACATTCACGGATGGTTTGGGGTTTTATGGTTTAGTCAAGGAACTAGAGGCCCTCACGGGTGAGAATCTCTGGCAAAAAAGCTCCAGAGTTTCGATGAATACCACGACTTGGGATGCCATCTGGCCGACATGACCACCGGATGCACTGAAAGCAAGGATCCTTCGTCCTAAAGTCTGAAAACCCAGATGCCAAGTTGCCCTGAACCTCAAACCCCGAAATCCCAAACCGCAATCCAAAATTCCTTAGTTTTATCCAAGGGTAAAAGGAGGGACCCTTAATAAGGACCCCTAGGTATATACCCTTGATATAGCTATTATATACCCATTATACAGCCCATTTTAGGGTAGGGGTCCCCATTAAGGGTCCCTCCCTGTTTTGATTTCAGGCCCACCAAGCCTGCCGCCCTCAACCCTGATCCGAGAAGTGCACCGGTAGGTCCACAGATGTGACATTGTCACAGTGTTGTAGACCTTCTTGGGCTCGGCTTAAGCGGGGTGAGGGTGTGCCCTTCTGAGGAAAACTGACGACGTGCCTGCTAAATTTGAAAGGGAGGCGGCACCAATGTTTGTAAGTACAGCTCCTCTGCGGCATTTCGACCAAACGAAGGCATGTAATAGGTTCATTCGCAACATCTACATAATCACACACACACAGATACGTACATACATGCATGCAGACATACGTACGTCATACATGCAGGCATGCACAAACACGAAAATATGCCTATGACTATGCGAGGCTCAGATGTCCGTTACGTGAGTCAGCTAATCGTGCAGCTACTTGTGCCCACCTACCTATGCGTATGCAACATGACCCGGCGTTTAAGCATGAGCATATTGGATATAAAAAGAAAAACATATATATATATATATATATATATAGACATATATATATATACATATATTTTACCTCTATGTATATACACATGTATATACATATGTACATATACGTACATATATACATACATACAGAGATACATACATACATGCATGCATATGTGTGCATATGCACATGTATAATATGTATATTAGTATGTACCTTTTCTTACATTATATATATATACATACATATGTATATACATATGTGCATGCATATATATATATATATATACAGTTTTTATAATGACATGTACCTTTTAATATGTGTGTGTGAATGCATGTGTTCATGAACATATGCGTGATAAGTATAAGTGTATATATATATATATAACCTATGCTTTCTACCGCATAAATCTATGTGTGTGTGTAATGTACAGTGTACAATAAACAAGACAGCTAATATATTGTTTGAGGTGCATTACATAGCATGCACAATACCAGGTCTATATACAAAACACCATCTACAACACATATGCAATTACAAGTATATGTATACACAGATACCATAAAGTATAACCATGTAAACTCTGTATATATATATATATATATACACAGATAGATAGCTTGACAGACTAACTCAGAGAGCGAGCAGACAGACAGACAGACGGACAGACAGACAGACAGACAGACAGACAGACAGACAGACAGACAGACAGATGAATAGACAGCATGTCAAACATCGTGAGTAATATGTGAAACATAATACAGTATGTGATATGTTATGATGTGATATAAAGTAAAACAACAAAACACCATGGACTAATACAACCTTGTGCCGCCATTCCAGGCACTTTTAAAATGCGACTCCCTCCAATTTCCAGGATGCCAGGATCCCAGCCTAACCCCAAATCCCAAACCTGATACCCTAAACTTAACCCCAAACCCCAAACACTCAAACACTAAACCTGATCCGCTAAACTCTGGCATCATCCCAAATCTCTGCCTTCTCCAACCTCCCCGCCTTTGCTACGACCACGGCTACTACAACGACTGCTACCATACTCAAGGTTTAGGGCTTTAAGGGGTTTAGGGTTTCGAGGGTTTTGGTTTGGGGGATTAAGGTTTAGGGGGTTTAGGGCTGAGGGACCGTAATCCCCACTCAGAACTACGAGATCACCTCCAAGAACAGATATGTACGAACTCCGTGCAACAGGAAAGACGCTACTAACGGGCCTGAAACACATCCATCTGCAGGCCTTGGAGCCCGAAACCCTAAACACCCAGTAGAGCGGTTTAGGGTTTAGAATGTAGGATTTAGGGTTTAGGATTTAAGGTATAGGGGCCTCGTTGTTTGGAACAGGAAACTGGGGTACATTACACCATAAGCTTATGCCTCCACTAAGCAATATGCACTAGCAACGAGTCAGCTCCCTGCCTTTCACCGGCCATAATAAGGCTGCACCCAGAAAACCCTAAACACTTAACCCTACAAGCCTTTAAACCCTAAACCCTGAAACACTAACTCCTCAAATCTGAAAGCCCGACGTCTTCCCTCGAAAACCCCCGACCTTTGAAAGGCCGTCGAAGGAAGCCGTCACGAGAGCAGATGCCTCCACCACTGCAAGCTCTTTAGGGTTTCCTGCTTGTCGAGTACCCTGGAAAACTAAAGGATAACCTTTGGGAGTATGTTGGGATTATATGGGGGTTGTAGTACCCCAACAAAGATCAAGGCTACCTGCTCTACTGCTAAACCCAAAACACGAAACCCTAAACCCCAATTCAAGTAAAAACAGCAGAGACATGAGAGACTCCGTTGAGGGTTCAAGCTTTTTTGGATGTAGGGTGCTCAGAATCTCCTCTACCAAGACCCATTCTACTCCAAAAGTACCCTGTTCACGGAACTCCAAGTCCCAAGCCCTAAACCTTAGACCCTGAACGCTAAGCCCGGAACCCTGCATCCGAAGTCCTAAACCCTCAGCCTTAGTCCCTCGCCCGTAAGCCCCAAACCCTTACTGAACGTGTCCATGCCTCGGGGCCGGGGCTTGGGAGCAGAAGTCCGGGCGTGAAAATAGAATCCTTCAAACCCTTAGGCCCTTAAGAGGTCTAAGAGTCTTGCTGATTGGGTTTTGTGGGGTGTTGTAGTAAGATTGTATAGGGATTCAACGGCTTTAGGCGTGAGGGCTTCTCTGGTAACGGTTTGAGCTTTCGGGTTCAGGGGTTTGTAATTTGGACTTTTTCAGGTTTAGGGTGTGTCGGGTTTAGGGCTTACGGCTTGGAGCTCGGGGTGAGATTTGAAGTTTTGGGCGTCGGTCTTCACGAAAGAGTTCCAAAACTCAAGTGGAGCTCTCCAAGCCCTGGCTCACTCGCACTTCACAGACTGACCTGGCGCTTTAGCAAAAGTCAAGCAGCTTCAAAGAAGTGCGGACCTCCAACGTGAGGTGGATTCTTTCGCACGCATGGACGTCATCTTCTTGTTCATTCCAACCAGATGCCTTGGATGTGGATGCTTTGTGGGACAGTCCACCCCGTCACATCCTCTTCTGGGAACTCACGGGTCACATCCCAGAGCTCTCAGCTCGACCATTATCCATCTCTCCATGCCACTCTTCGCCTGATCAAGGCTGACTGCCAGGTCCTTGGCAACTTTGTCGTCGAACTTGCCTGGGCACAGGAACGCCATGAGATTGCAAAGTTCGGCAAGACTGTTCTGGACCGGGGTACCTGTCAACCCTATGCGACGGCTTGCGTGGCACGCAAGCTTCTGCAACCGTGTGGTCGGACATGGCTCTGGATAGTGGGAAGGTGGAAGTGTGCCTTCCCAGAGACTCCAATATTCCTTAATTAAGGAATATACCTTAAATTATAGTAGGATCCTTAATAGGATTTAAGAATATTCCTTACATTCCTTAATTAAGGGATATTGGAGTCTCTGCCTTCGTTGTGATGGGAGGGACGTCGAAGACCAGACCGGCTGGGGCTGCGATGCCTGAGGACGGACGTGGACGAAGGAGGGAGGGCATCCGAAACCCAAATCTAGGAACCTTATTTTGGGGTTATAGGCCCAGGGTTTCTTAATCAGGTTCCTACATTAAGAGCGAGTTTTACGTCCTAAGTTGCCGTTGGAAACCTACGTGGCTGTTTCAAGGCTCGGAACGCTTGTGAAGTTACATTGCTCCTATACGCACACCTACAACCCGCGCGTAGCGGAAACCCTACAGCTTGAACCCCAAACACTCTAAGCCCCAAACCCGAGCCCTAAAACTTCAATCCCAATTCCTACAACTCTGAACACCCCCAGAGAAGCCTCAACAACCTTATTGCATTGCTTGGAAACCTGAACCCTAAACCCTAAACCCTGAACCCCTAGAACCACCGCACACCCCATGAACCGGATCCCAGGGTTAGAGACTCGAAAGAAGACTATATGGGAGTTTCCGAAAACAGGGGACCCTAATATGGTACCCTAAATAGTAGGATCCTTATTATAAAGACCCCAAAATAAGCTCCCGAAAGAGGCCCGACCTGGTTTATGGGGTTTCTGGGCTTAGGCTTCTCGCATCTGAGCCCAAAGGAGCCCCTGAACATCAACTTTTTGCAAACCTGCCTGCGAGTCCAGGCAAATTCCCATGATCACCTGCGGTTTAGAGTTTAGGGTTTAGGGTTTAGGGTTGGCAACACAATGACATGACTGTGACGAAGGCACGGAACACCTCTCGGACAAGAGTGGCTAAAAACGCTGCTGATCCACAAGAAAAGCACAAAAGGTTCTCCTACTCAAGATGACGATAGGACGACGACGACCGCGGCGACGGCGACGGCCACGTACAACAAACGACTAAAGCGACCACCACCTCTACCAGAACAATAGCAGCAGCCGTCGTTTCCTCAGGTGTGCAGTAGTTGTCATCGTCGTCGTAATCGCAGTAGCAGTAGCAGTAGATCCATGGCCCACCTTGGAGTGGATGTCGGGAAGATCGTGCAGGACCCGACCACTCATAGCCAGATCCCAGACCTGCTTACACCATGGGCCCTTAAGGTTTAGGGTGTAGGCATCAAATTTGACGGTTTGGGTTTTGCAGTTTCGGGGGCGAAAGTGGGGCGGAGGATTTAGGACAATCATCTGGGTGGTTGTCAAAATTAGGGTCCCTGTTTGGGTCCTTCATATAATATGGCACCTAATATGTAGGGTACCCAAAAAGGGACCGTAATTTTGACAACCATCCATCTGAAGATCTACTCGGCCAGCCTGCTGGTCCAAAGCAGTCAAGCTTGGGTTTCGTGGTTACTAAGGAGCCTGACCTACTTGTCGGGTATCATGGGGAACTAAAGCTTCACCTGTTGGTTTATATAGGGATTATATAGGGACTATACTACCCAAAAAAGGTTAAAGGCTACCTACTCGACTACTAGGCTGAATAGCTGCCGACATCCTTTTTGGCTCGATGAAACTGTACTGTGTCAACTACGTTCATCCCCCGGAAAAGTCTTCTACTGATACGGCACTTAAACCAAAGCCCTACAACCCCCTTCGACCAACCCTTATAGAACCCTTTTACAAGAAACCGTAAAGGAACCCTATTCTAACTTACAGTAGAAGCCCAAAAGTTGGAAACCCCAGAGCCTCCATCCTTAAGAGTAATGTATAATAAGGAATCCCAGCACTGTTTGGCCTTAACCCAGTTTCTAGCTTTATGGGATTTACTGTACTATACTGAACTTAGAACCCTAGCAACAGTTACATTTTTTGCTGTTTCTTAGGGATTATCATAACCAAAAATTAAAAACCCCTAACCCTATTCTAACTTAGGTTTCAGGCCCCCCATCTTACAGGGATTTTCTCGGGGCCATGGGCCTGATCTTACGAGCAGCACGAGGTGCTTCCCGACCAGGTCAACGAAGCTCTGCTTTAAACTACTACTTGAGGGTTTAGGGTTTAGGGTTGACGGTTTGTGTTTTGTAAGCTCCTTTTTCTAGGGTTTAGGGTTTAGGGTTCCAGGTCAACCAAGCCCTGCTTTAAACTACTACTACTTGAGGGTGGGGTGGACTTCGGAAGTAAGGTTGTAAGTAAGGATAAGTTTAGGATAACCCTACTCAGGGCTTTAGGGTTTTAGGGTTCTAAGGTTTAAGAGTTTAGGGTGTAGGGCTTAGTTTCAGGGTTCAGGGTTTCGAGCTCAGGGTGGAGTCTTTAGGCTACTGGGCCGACTTCCGAACCCCTCCACAAAGTTAAACTTTTAGGCTCCTTATTACGGTTCATATAAAAACCCAAAAGGTTAAAGTTATTTTGGTTAATATAACAAACCCAAAAAGTTAAAGTTATTATGCTTCATATAAAACTAGAAGACAATTGGCCCGAAAGCATCATCAGCGAAGAGTGTGGGGCTATGTGATAGATCCAGTGTGTAGGATCGTATGCAGATACAGTCAAGAGTCATGGAGTCCATGAGTCATGAGTCATAAAGTCATAGAGTTACAGTGAGATAGCGTCATAGAGTCATAGTGAGATCAAGTCACAGAGTCATGGAGTCATCTATGTAGCATGCACTTGACTCGATGTAGTTCACTCTATGCTCTATGTGTGGGAACGCTTAATCGAGATCCCCGTAGCGTGGTGGCTCATAGCCCGACCGGGACCTCGAGATGCAGATACAGTCAAGAGTCATGGAGTCCATGAGTCATGAGTCATAAAGTCATAGAGTTACAGTGAGATAGCGTCATAGAGTCATAGTGAGATCAAGTCACGAGTCATGGAGTCATCTATGTACCATGCACTTGACTCGATGTAGTTCACTCTATGCTCTATGTGTGGGAACGCTTAATCGAGATCCCCGTAGCGTGGGGGCTCATAGCCCGACCTGGACCTCGAGATGCAGATACAGTCAAGAGTCATGGAGTCTATGAGTCATGAGTCATAAAGTCATAGAGTTACAGTGAGATAGCGTCATAGAGTCATAGTGGGATCAAGTCGCAGAGTCATGGAGTCATCTATGTAGCATGCACTTGACTCGATGTAGTTCACTCTATGCTCTATGTGTGGGAACGCTTAATCGAGATCCCCATAGCGTGAGGGCTCATAGCCCGACCTGGACCTCGAGAGGCACATACAGTCAAGAGTCATGGAGTCCATGAGTCATGAGTCATAAAGTCATAGAGTTACAGTGAGATAGCGTCATAGAGTCATAGTGAGATCAAGTCGCAGAGTCATGGAGTCATCTATGTACCATGCACTTGACTCGATGTAGTTCACTCTATGCTCTATGTGTGGGAACGCTTAATCGAGATCCCCATAGCGTGAGGGCTCATAGCCCGACCTGGACCTCGAGAGGCACATACAGTCAAGAGTCATGGAGTCCATGAGTCATGAGTCATAAAGTCATAGAGTTACAGTGAGAGTAGGTCGCCACGTTGCTTGCTCGCTCTTTCGCAAGACAGCGTCGAAGCAAGCAAGCAACGGTGCAACCTAGCCAGAGCGAAGAATTCGCGGCCCGCACGGCTCACCGTGGAGTCAAGGGCCGCGCGGCCTGAGGAGGTGCCGGGAGAGGTCATCCCAGGGATTACGGCGGTCCGGAGCCTCATGAAAACTGCTGATTGTAGTTGCAAAGGTTCATCGGGAGCCCCGAGCCTCCATAGCATGCATTATACCAACCCAAGGTATAGTATCATGGAAGAAGAAACATATCCCCATGAAGCCTGCTCCCCGACAATGCTCTGTGATAGAGCTTCCAACAACTCCGCTTTGGAGAGAGTGCGCCCGGCTGCGTGTCGTTGCACATCCGCAGCGACACAGAGCTCAGCCAGCCCATCCTTACTGTGCTTCCGCAACTCGCCGCGGAGCCAGGCTTCGCCCTGCTCGGCATAACCCGCGCACAACTCCTGCAGCTTTTGCTGCGACCCCGGTTCATCGGCCTGACAGCAAGAACTACTTCACTTCAAAGCACAAAACAACCCACCTGGCGACGACACTGACGCCTCGCTGCAACCGAAGCTGACATGGACAATCATCAAGAACGCCGATTCCCCATGAAGCCTGCTCCCCGACAATACTCTGTGATAGAGCTTCCGACAACTCCGGCTTGGTAAGCGAGCGCCCAGCTGACTTCTGTTGCACACCCGCAGCGACGGCGAGCATACGCAGCTCCTCTCGGTTTTGCTTGTCCAGCTCGGTGCGGAGCCAGGCTTCGCCCTGCTCGGCATAACCGGCGCGCAACCTCCGCAGCACAGCCATGGGATGGAAAAAGGCGTCCACGCCGGCCCTTTCGCAAGACAGCGTCGAGGCAAGCAAAACACTGTCACAAGTATGTTCAGATGAAAAAGTGTCTGCGCCGACCCTTTCGCAAGACAGCGTCGAGGCGGGCAAACACTGTCCTAAGTATGGCCAGCTGATAAGATGAGAATAAGCAGAGAAAAATCTCCACACCGGCCCTTTCGCAAGACAGCGTCAAGGCAGGCAAGGAAGCGTACTAGCTGTAGTAAGATGCTGCAATGTATGCAAAACGCTGCAACGTGTTTTCCCTTTCTTGTCCCTTTCGAGCCAAACGAGGCAGGCAAACAACAGACACCAGTATAGGAAGATGACTGGCACATGCAAAAACAAATCTCGCTTCCGAGCCTGCAGAGCGCGCGGCTCTTGCAGCTTTTGCTGCGACACCGGCTCATCGGCCTGACAGCTATACTTCACTTCAGAGCACAAAACGTCCCACCTGGCGACGACTCTGACGCCTCGCTGCAACAGAAGCTGACATGGACAATCATCCGGAACGCCAATTCCCCGTGAAGCCTGCTCCCCGAATCTCGCTTCCGAGCCTGCAGAAGTCGTCGGCCAGGCAGCGGCGCGGTGCGCCGTCGCAAGACAGCGTGCGCGCCGTACAAGCGCATGAATATATGTGTCTATCTATCTATCTATCTATATATATATATATGTGTATATTATTCCTATCGATATATGCATTAAAATATGCTTAAAAAAAATATCTCGCTTCCGAGCCTGCAGAGCGCGCAGCTCTTGCAGCTTTTGCTGCGACACCGGCTCATCGGCCTGACAGCTATACTTCACTTCAGAGCACAAAACATCCCACCTGGCGACGACTCTGACACCTCGCTGCAACAGAAGCTGACATGGACAATCATCCGGAACGCCAATTCCCCGTGAAGCCTGCTCCCCGAATCTCGCTTCCGAGCCTGCAGAAGTCGTCGGCCAGGCAGCGGCGCGGTGCGCCGTCGCAAGACAGCGTGCGCGCCGTACAAGCGCATGAATATATGTGTCTATCCATCTATCTATCTATGCATCTATCTATCTATATATATATATGTATATATATATATGTATATATATATATATATATATATCTATATATCTATCTATGTATCTATCTATCTATATATATATATGTATATATATATACATATATATATATATATATTATATGCATTTATGCATATATATATATGTGTATATGAGTATATTATTCTTATCGATATATGCATTTGCCAATCCTGCCAATCCCTCTGAAAGGTTGCCAATTCACCTGTTGCACACCTACCGATTAGAACAATCGAAGAAGCAAATCCCTCTCAAGCCAATCCCTGTGAAGGGTTCCGCGAGCACCGCAAAATGTGTAACTTCACCTCGCGTTCAAGCACTCGACAACGCCAATCCGTGTGAAGGGTTGCAAAATTCATCTCAATGCACATCAGAAATTGCAACTTTACCTCGCGTTCGAACACTCCACCACACCAATCCCTGTGAAGGGTTGCAAAATTCAGCTCAATGCTCATCAAAAATTGCAACTTTACCTCGCGTTCGAACACTCCACCACGCCAATCCCTTGAAGGGTTGCAAAACTCAACTCAATGCACATAAAATAATCCATCTCAATGCTCGTCAAAAAATGCAACTTTACCTCGCGTTCGAACACCCGACCACGCCAATCCCTGTGAAGGGTTGCAAAATGCCAATCCCTGTGAAGGGTTGCAAAAAAAAATGAACTGCACCCAAACCCTGTGAAGGGTTGCGCGGCGCCTAAAATGTGTAACTTTACCTCGCGTTTGAACGCCCGAGGCAGCGAATCCCTGTGAAGGGTTGCACGGGCACCGCATTAAGTTAAAAAAATGTGTAACTTTACCTAGCGTTTGGGCCCTCGCCCATGCCAATCCCTGTGAAGGGTTCACCCGGACGCCTAAAATGTGTAACTTTACCTCGCGTTTGAACGCCCGAGGCAGCGAATCCCTGTGAAGGGTTCACGGCGCCCGAAAAATTTGTAACTTTACCTCGCGTTTGAACGCCCGAGGCAGCGAATCCCTGTGAAGGGTTCACCCGGGCGCCTAATAAGTTAAAAAATGTGTAACTTTACCTAGCGTTTGAGCCCTCGCCCATGCCAATCCCTGTGAAGGGTTCACCCGGGCGCCTAAAATGTGTAACTTTACCTCGCGTTTGAACGCCCGAGGCAGCGAATCCCTGTGAAGGGTTCACCCGGACGCCTAAAATGTGTAACTTTACCTCGCGTTTGAACGCCCGAGGCAGCGAATCCCTGTGAAGGGTTCACCCGGGCGCCTAATAAGTTAAAAAATGTGTAACTTTACCTAGCGTTTGGGCCCTCGCCCATGCCAATCCCTGTGAAGGGTTCACCCGGGCGCCTAAAATGTGTAACTTTACCTCGCGTTTGAACGCCCGAGGCAGCGAATCCCTGTGAAGGGTTCACCCGGGCGCCTAAAATGTGTAACTTTACCTCGCGTTTGAACGCCCGAGGAGGCGAATCCCTGGGAAGGGTTGCATTCCCGATGGACGACAACGGTGCCACCCCCTGGCTTTAAAAGAGAGAATTAGATACCGAGATGTAGAGAGTAAGTCATAGAGGCATAGAGTCAAGTAAGTAAGTAAGTAAGTAAGTAAGTAAAAGTAAGTAAGTAGGTAAGTAAGTAAGTAACTAAGCAAGTCAAGTAAGTAAGTAAGTAAGTAAGTATGAGTAAGTATAAGTAAGTATAGAGATAGCATAACATAGAGTCCAGTGTCAAGTGTCAAGTAAGTTAGGCAGTAGATTAAGAAGTAAGTAAGTAAGTAAGTCGTAAGCATAACATAGAGTCAAGTATCAAGTGTAGAGTCAAGTATCATAGAGTCAAGTGTCAAGTGTAGAGAGTCAGTCATAGGGGTCAAGTAAGTAAGTAAGTATCAAGTGTAGAGTCAAGTATCAAGTGTAGAGTAAAGTACGGAGTCAAGTAAGTTGATTCTATGTCTGTCATCTATGTACTCAGCTGCGGCGTTCCACACGGAAGAACCCTTCGCGATGCTTTCGGGAAAACCCGAAACGTTAAAGTCCTAAGAGCCAACCAGAAGAACGTCAAGGAGATTCAGCCCCCAGGCTCAGGACTCTTTTGCCCGAAACCCAGAATTCCACGTGCGGAAACCCCCGAACCCAAGAGAGCCCAATACTCGGAGGCCTCACAAGGTGGGATGAAGATAGGTAGGATTAAGGATCCCTTATATAAGGACTCTTATTTGGTAACATCTCACCTACCTTCGTCCCACCTTTTGAGGCCCCCGAAATACAGAACATGCCTCAAATTATATGGGTAGTTGCGAAGATGAGGGTCCCTTTTGGGGTCCTTATTACAATACGGCACCAAAAGTTTAGGGTACCCAAAAAGGGACCATCATTTTGACAACCACCCATATGAAACCCTTTAGAGCCTTAGGGCTGGAGGTATATTCCTTAATTACGTAAACCAGAATATTCAGTCCCGTATGCAGCAAACCCCATAAAGCTAGAAACTGGGTTAAGGCCAAACAGTGCTGGGATTCCTTATACATCACTCTTAAGGATGGAGGCTCTGGGGTTTCCAACTTTTGGGCTTCTACTGCAAGTTAAGGTGTGTTCTCTAAGGGTCACTGGCCCAAAACCCAAGGGAACAAAAGTTGAAACTTTCAGAATCAACTACCCTATAAGAACCCCAAAAGTTGAAAAGTTGAGTTTACAGCCAATAAGACTCCAAGAAAGACAGGGTTAACCCTAAACCCTAAACTCTCAACCCTAAAACCCTAAAACCCTAAACCCTAAACCCTAAAACCCTAAGGTTCTCTAAGGGTTTAAGACCCTTGGATTTCGAGCGCAGGTTCCAGGGCGTAATATAGGGGCCTTACTGATGTACCTGGAGGGTTTAGGGTTTAGGGGTTCGGGGCTTAGTAAGTCGTTTATAAGTCGGGTTATAGATGGGGTAACTCCATTTAAGGTACTTATAAGTCTACTTATAACCTACTTACTAAGTCCCCTGCCCCTCCAAGTAGAAGAGGGGTTTGGGGGCCATTATACTATAATTATAATAAGGAATCCCAAAAAAATAGTCGAGGTAATTATTTAGGCCCCTATAAATCCTTATAATAGCCCTTGTAGTAGCCTTTATAAACCCCTTTAGAGGAACCCTATTACCATAGCATAGGCAACTCTTTAGGCTTCTATAGTATGGGGCTCGCAGAGGTGCCTTCACTGCGGTGCCGCCCGCCGAGGCAAAGAGTGCACGGCCAGGGAACGATACCCCGGCCTCCCGTAGGGTTGGGGTTTAGGGTTTGGGGATTAGGGGTTAGAGGGGTTGGGGCTTAGGGACTAGAGGTTAGGGTTCAGGGTTCAGCGGTTCAGGATTTAAGGTCTTGGGTTCAGGGTGACGGGGTTTAGGGTTGAGGGTATGAAGTGACGAGATGTGCTTCGAAACGGTCACCCCTGAAAGCCCTTTGGTAATGCTGCTTGAATAGTTAGAATTTGGGGATGTTATACAAAGTATACTAATGCCCGAGGACCCTAAGCAATGAGAGTGCTAATGTTCAGACCCCTATAGCCCATATATAGTATGTAAACTTCGAATCTGAAGCCACCCTGCACTCTGAACAACCTAAACTCTATACGGCACAAGACTAATGCTCGATAGCTGTACCAGTGAACCCCTACACAAAACCCTAAAGCTTCGAAAATCACGCAGACAGCGCTTGCGACGATGTCCTGCATATCGATCGTACATACCCCTGATATGAGCAAAGCTGAGGGCATGTGATCGTGGCAGCAAGACGCTTGAAAAAACCTTTACCCCCGAAGTAATCCCTAAACCCTAAACCAAAAACTCTAAATCCTAAACTCTAACTGGCAGTGCCTTTCCTGAGGGAACTGCTGTCCAAGGATGGATGTGTCTCTTCAGGTCACCCTAAACCCTGTAACGCCTGCAGCCCCCAAACAACATGTCCCTAAACTTACCGTTGGTTAGTAGGGAATGGAAGAATGGTAGTCATAGTAGCTATTGTACTCCAGTCCTCCATTCCCTACTAACCAAAGGTAAGTAAAGCCTTAACCACTCAACCCTAAAGTTTACAGCCCTCAAGCTTGTACTCCTAACCCCCAAACCCGAAAGCCAATAAACCAAAAACACCCTAGCTCATCACACAATGCCTACCCTAGAAATGAACCCGGAAAATAACCCCAAGATCGCCCGGCCAGACCTTAAATCCTGGACCCTAAACCTTTTACCCTAAACCCTAAACCCTGGACCACAAGCCCTAAACCCCAAACCTCTAAACCCTCAACGTTAAACCCGAACCCTAATCCCTAAACCCTAGGCCCTAGGCCAAACAAAGCCCTCCCTGAAGGACCAAATGACCCTTAAAAGTAAGGGCCCTATACCCATATACTCTGAATCCCTATATGGTATATGAACCTTAAACCCTAAACCCTAAACCTTAAACCCTTTTAGGGTTCATTTCGTCCTTAGGGTCGAAACCACCTCCACAGCGTGGTCGTGCGAGACGCTGATGGCAGCTTTGGCCTCTCAAGGCGGGTCTTTACTTAAAGGGTCATGGGACTTAGTAACTACTGCTGATGGACAAAATCCTGCATGACCCTAAGGACTCAAAACTATGGGAACTATGGTATATTCCTCATAATGGGTGATGCAGGATTTTGTCCATCAACAGTAGGGTTATAATTAAGGTAACTATACTTATAACCCAATTAAGGTACTTATAACCTTACTTACTAAGTCCCATGATCCTCCAAGTGGTCTTTTCGTCTGGTGGGCCTTTAGGGGACCTACAAGGGCTCCTGTAGGGGATCCCGACAGTTTGTGTTTTAGGGATTAGGGTTTAAAGGCTGCTTTCAGGGATCCTCAAGGGTTCGTATAAGGTGTGTATATATATATATATATATGATACCCCCCAAAGATCCACACTTTTTGGCTCTGTCTGGAATATATATATATATATATATATATATGTGGGTGGTTGTCAAAATTATGGTCCCTTTTTGGGTCCCTATTATAATGCGGCACCTATTATTTAGGGTACCCAGAAAGGGACCCTAATTTTGACAACCACCCATATATACTTTTGGAGCTTGCGGTCCCTTAACATGAGACTGGCTAAACCCCAAAAGGGAACTACCCTGAAGACTATAGCTTTCAAGCTGCCCGCACCCTGTAATAGTGACTATAAGGATTATATATTAGGGCCCTAGTATATTCCTATTGTCCCGCTATTACGGGGTGGGGGCCCCTTCTAAACTATAGCTAGCGCCTTGGGGCTCAGGGCTTTGGGGCTTGGAGTTTGGGGCGTTTTGTATGGTGTAGGGCTTCGGGTTTACGATTTGGGGCTTGGGGTTTAGTCCTCTAAGCCCTAAACCCTAAAGGCCCTTGGGGATAGGGTTTAGAGTTTCAGACTCTTTAGGGAAGTCGGGAGAGCCGGAATCAGATGCTGACGGCCTGAAAGAAGCTAATTTAGGGGCCTTAACTTTTAGAATAGGGCTCCATTAAAAGAGGTTCGTTTTAGGTGATCTATAAGGTGTCTATACGGTATACGACATAGGGGCGTTGATGATCAGGATAGGGCTTTGGAGTATCTCATACTATGATTACAATAAGGAACCCCCAAAATAGTATTGTTTAATTGCTCCCTCGCTGCGTTTGATGGGCACACTGGGGCGATATCCTGCATCGAACTGCCCCATCGACAATTTATGGTATATTGTGGCCTCAGAGGGCAGCTTGCATCTTCTCACTCAGTCCAGGTGCGTACGATGTGGAGCAGCGCGTTCTGTCGCGCCTTGCACAGCACGCGCCTCGACCAGCGTGACCTTCCGCCGAGAGACCATCAGAAGGGTTGATGATATAAATCCTGCATTACCCATAATAAGGAATATGCCATAATTGCCATAGTTTAGGGTCCTTAAGGTAATGCAGGATTTATATCATCAACAGAAGCGCCTCAAACAAAATCAACGGGAGCCAGCCGGCCGGCGTCTTCCACGAGGCTCTCCGATTATCACGCAAACCCAGAGACTCCAATATCCCTTAATTAAGGAATATTCCTTACATTATAGTGGGATCCCGAATATGATTTAAGGTATATTCCTTAATTAAGGGATATTGGAGTCTCGGGAACCTCTGTAACGAGCCTAACTCCTGCGATAGTTATGTCCTTGCACGCTGCTCGGTCTTCAGCGATCGGACGGTCAGCTTCACTGAGTTTGCGGAGCTTGAGCGGGGTCGGAAAGAGCTGCTCCAGTTCGGCGCTCATAAAGCCCTTGAGGCCTAAAACGTTCTACGCCCGAAAAACCTAAAAGCCAAAGACCCCGGAAACCTTCGTCGTCCTTTTGCTAACGTGTGCTGACCCAGGGTTTAGGGAGAGTTTGGGGTCTAGGGCGTGCAGGGTCTCGGGTCTCGATTCCCCTGAACCCCGAGTTGATTACGGCTTGTCGCTTTACCCGGAGAGCCCAATACCCCGCCATTAAGGAATCAGAAGCGGACGTGGCTTAAATCGTGATGTGAAGCCCCTTTTAAATTCGGGCATAGTATCATAGGGTTTGGGGTTAAGGGTTTTTGGGTTTAGGGTTAGTTAAGGCATATTCCTTAAGTAAGTAAAGGGTGCTGGACTCTCTGGGTAAAGCTCAGGTACGGTGAGGTCGGTTTAGGGTTTCGGATTTTTCGGAATATGGCAGACAAGGCCATTACTCTGAACCCTAAAACCTAGGGTTTGTACTGTAATGGACTATAATGTGCCATATATATATATATATGTATATGCTCACCCTCCCCCATGATCCACCGTTGGTGCGTCTGGGGAGTGGGGGGGCGCTATGCAAAGTGCCCATCAAAATAGAGCTGGATCATGGGGGGGGGTGGGGGGGGTGGGGGGGTGACCATATATATATATATATATATACACACACCAACTTGCGCTGATAACATACTAGACCCTAAACCTTAAACGTGAAACCCCGGGCGTGGTACGAATTAGGCGTTTGGAGTTGGCTCAGCTCTATGACGTTATTTAAGGGCTCAAGGCTCAAGGGACTTAGCAAGTAGGATTATAGTCGCGGTTTTCAGAGCCCTAAGTGGCGTTATCCTAGATATACCCTCACTTATGACCTTACCTGCTAAGTTCCATGATCCTTTACGTAGGCTTTAACGAAGTTGGGAGAAACATGGCCTTCTCGTCGTCGAGCCCCTCTTTGGAGGGGCTGCGCGAGTCCCACAACTTCACGCACTTGTCGTACCCGGCCTGTCGCGGGGAGGACCCAGGCTCGCCCGTGCTCTTCAATGTTCTTCTTCGCCCTAAACCCCCTAAACACTAAACCCTAAACCCTCTAAACACCAAGCCCCAAACCCTAAACCCTAAAGACTAAACTTAGCCCTGAATCCGAAGCTCGAAAGAAGGCCAAGAGCGTTAACGCAACATGACCTGTATCACATCAGTGCCATGAATCGCCTTCATCATCGTCATCACCACCATCACCCTCACCCTCACCCTGACCCTCATGCTCATCATCAACCCCAAAGCACCGCCGGCTGCGCTGTTATCCAGGAGTCTGCACCCACAGGACCCGCCGAAAGCACTTTCCTCAGGCAAAGTGAGACGGCGAGGGTAGAAGGTTTAGGGTTTGCATCGAGGGCCCTAAACCCTAAACCCCAAAACCCTAAACCCCCAAACCCCAAACCCTAAACCCTGAACCCTAAACCCTAAACCCCAAAACCCTGAACCCTAAACTTAAACCCCAAACCCTAAACCCCAAAACCCTGAACCCTAAACCCTAAACCCCAAAACCCTGAACCCTAAACCCTAAGCCCCAAAACCTAAACCCCAAAAACCCTGAAAATCCTTAACCCCTGAACCCTAAACCCTAAACCGTGCATGGCTCAACTCTCGGGCTTAGGGACTCAGCTCTCGGGCTTGGGGCGGGTCCTTGTCTTGCCGAGGCATGCGGGGCCTCGTTGGCTGGGTGGGGCCGGAAACATAGCTTAGGGTTGTTTTTTAACGCCTAAACCCTAAACCCCTAAACCCTAAACCCTAGCTTAGAGTTTAGGGTTTAGGGTTTAGGGTCGGACTACTAGACTCGATGATGAAATTTGCTGCAACCCCATATGCCATATCAGCAATATCATTCCTGGCAGGTAGGAACGGTGGACGGGTTAGATCTCTTGAAGGCCATCGGCCAAATCCCTTGCAATTGCTGCAAAATGAAGCATATCGCATGACTCTGGTCAATAACAATGGGACCGTTCTGTAGAAAAACCTTTTAAAGGGGATCCCGAACCCCCCCTCCAACCTCCAAAGCCTAAACCCCAAACCCCTACAAAAGCCCTTGTAACCTAAACCATAGGGTATGAAACCTTGTCGTTCTAACCCGCCTGTGAAACTCGCCAGGCCACCTTAGAACACAAAAAACGCTGCTATTGCAGCTGCGTTTCAGCGCGTCGCTGTGGGCATCTACCTTGCAACTCTAGGGTTTGAAGTGATCCGGCAGAAAAAGTATAAGCTTGTGTTTGCTTATGGTTCCTTTAAGGACCTGCCTCCCAAAACGTATGACAGTATGGTAGTCCCACCCAGAACTGGGGTCTAGGGGTTTAGGGTTTCGGGTCTGCGGAGGGACTCGGACTTCTTGCTGGTACCACTGGCAGGGGAGCTCGGAACCATGTGGGTGGTTGTCAAGAGTAGGGTCCCTTTTTGAGCACCCTAAATATTAGGTGCCTTATTGTAATAAGGACCCAAAAAGGGACCCTAATTTTGACAACCACCCATGTGCCTAAACACCGATCCCGTGTAGCCAACATCCTGGAAAAAAAAGTGCTTCAGAAATCGAAAACTCGAAACTAAACCCTAAGAACCTAATCGCCGACTTAACCAAAACCTTCACTCTGGAAACGGGAACCCGACACCCGAAACCCTAAATCCCCAAACCCCTAAACTGAAACCTCATAAACCCTGAAAGCCTAAAGTCGCGAGCACACATAAACCATGTAAAGTTCGTACTCCCCAAACGGAACCAACAAAAACCATGACGAACGGCTGCCTTGCACTGAATGGCTGTAGAGGATTCGGGCGATTTAGGGTATAGGGTGGTGCTGGCATGTCTTTTGCCAACGGTAAGGCAAACAATCTCGTTTAAACATTCTGGCAGCCACATGGTACAGCCCCTTCCCGACAGGACTGTATGTGTGTATTTTCTGACGAACACCGAGAAACGAGATGCGATGCAGAGCCTTACAAAAAGTATAGGGTTTAGGGTCCAGGTTAGGGTTTAGGTTTAGGTGACAAGCCCGAATCAACCCTGTAAGAACTGTCTAAACTCTTGCTACTACTGAAGACTATACTGGACTTAGAACCCTAGCAAAAATTATAGTTTCAGCTGTTTTTAGGTATTATAATAACCAAAAGTTAAAAAAAAATCTAAGTACCCCTTAGAAGATATTGCAAGGAGCTTCACCCAAAACCCTAAACCTCCGGGACTCCTCTCCTCCTCTGTCCCTCAACCCCTATATAACCCTATACCCTATACAGTAACACCCTATATAGTAACACCTACAGATCCCTTACAGGAACCCTTATAGAACGCTTCATGAAATCCAAACCTCTCAACTCCAAATATCTTTCCTCCAGGTCCTATATAGTAAGCCTTAATACCAAAAATCCTTAGAAGAACCCTTAGTAGAACCCTTAAAGGAAGCCTAAAAGGGAACCCTTCAACGGAACTGTACAGACACCCTTAGAAGGAACCCTTAATCGGAACCCTTAAAGGAACTCCAAAACTCTCCTCCAAGCCCTCGGGCCGTTTGGAGCAGCTCGGAAGTGGCTACGTCCCAGAGACGGAGCTTCCCGTCCTCTCTGGGGAGTTTCTTGGGTTCAGGGGTTTAGGGTTCAGGGGTTTGGGGTTCATGGGTTTTGGGGTATGGGTTTTTTTGGGGATTTGGGGTTGGGGGTTGGGGGTTTTTGGGGTTTAGGGCTTTGGGGTTTGGGTTTAGGGTTCAGGGTTTACGATTTAGGGGTTAGGAGTTTAGGAGTTTAGGTTTTAGGGTTTAGGGGGTTTGGCTTTAAGGGATCTCTCAAGGTTACTACAAGGAGACTATAAGAGATACTATGGGTCGAAGGTTTCCGCTTTTGTTATTGTTTTTTGGGTGGTTTGGTTTCGGCTTTGGGGTTTTGGGGTTTGGGGTTGAAGGGTGTGCGGTTCAGACATCCCCAGTACTGTGGGGGGGGGGGGGGGAAACGGATTGCTAGCCTACAGAAACCCGACAACATGAACTGGCGTCGCTTGCTCAAAGCAATAACCCCAGAGACTCCAGTGCAATATACCTTGGTTAGAATAGCAGGATCCCCAATTAACATGATTTAAGGAATAATCCTAAATTAATTACTGTAAGGACATTGGAGTCTTTGGGACCCTCGAACTCTTTACCGAAAACTGGCCTTGCTTCCTGTCGCCACGCGACTCTTGTCGGACTCGGCGAAGGCTGCACCTTGCCAGGCTTGTTAGGTAATATAGGGGCTTTAGTAATTGGAATAGGGTTTTGGGGTATATTATCCCAAAATTATACTAAGGAGCCCCAAAATAACAGGTAATTATCCCCCATGTAACATTGCGGGGTTTAGGGCTTAACCATCGGTTGAGGGTTGTAAGGCTTTACGCAAAGTAGGGATTCGTGCTTTAGGGACTGAGGGCGCGCGGGCGTTTTGAGGTGAAGGGTTGGAGTGTCTTTAGGGTTAATGTTCGAGGGTTGATAGGGGGTAGCGGGTTATGTACTGTAGGGCCCCAAACACTAAACCCTAAATCAAACCTTGGGCTTTATGGCCTTAGCATGCTGGAGTGTGTAAGGGTTGAAGCCTCAGGGCTTCAGGGCTTGACGCTTTGAGGGCTTTAGGGTGAAAGGCTTGCGGGTTTAAAGGGGGTTTAGGGTTTCGAGTTTGAGGGCTTCGCGTTTAGGATTGTGTTTGTGTTGTTCGATTCGGACTTTAAGCCAGACTGCCGGCGATCATTCCGAAAACTCCTCCTACTCCCGTGGCTAGTACCAGTACCAGTACGAGTACAGATACCACTACCACTACGAAGACCACCGGGTCTGGGCCAACGCCTTTTTTCTGAGGCAGGGGCAAGTAACAGCGTCACCATGTCCTCGCAGCCTTGCACCGGGAACGGCCAAAGCACCAATCCTGGTAACCTTAACCCTCTTCAAAACTAAAACTGCCACACCCTGACCCTATACCCTAAACTCTTAAACCCTAAGAACCCCAACCTCCCTTAGAAGAGAGTTGGGCGCAGCATTCGTACTCACAGAAACGTCTGACCACCGCAAGCCTGCAACCGAAAGCTTCAAGCCGAGACACTTCAGGGTTTTGAGGTTTAGTTTGAGGTTCAGGGGTTCAGGCGTTTAGAGGTTTAGGGGTTTCGGGGATTGGGGTTGAGGGGCTCATGGGCTCAACGGTTGAAGGTTGAGGGCTCGGGTTTAAGGTTTAACCGACGTATCTACGTCTTCGAAAGAGGAATCCTTAGAACGTCGCCTTTTTGCGGGATTTTTGGTGCAAGTAGCTGGAGCAGGGCTTGGGTTCGGGGTGTAGAGTCTCGGGTTCATGTGGGAGTTTCCGAAAATAGGGGACCTCTAATATAGTACCCTGAATAGTAGGACCCTTATTATAAGGACGCGTGTAGGTTGTGGGACCGAATAGCGGGTTTCGGGTTGTCTGAGCAGGCTGCCGCTGTGTCTCTGTTTCTGCTACAGATGTAGTCGACATACGAAAGATTAAGAGGGCAAATCCAAAACCCTTCTTGAAACTCAGCCTAACCCCTAAACCCCAACCTTGCGGAGCAGGTTTCAGCCCTCAACCCCCAAGCCTGAACTGCAAGAAGAGCTTGGGAAAGCTTCAAAGGCTGACAAAAGTGAACACCTCGACAGCCACCGGTTTGGGGAGTGGGGTTTAGGGTTTAGAACGTCTCCGACAATGCACCTTAAATCAAAGGGGAAAAGGAGGGACCCTTGATGGGGACCCCTACCCTCTAATGGGCTATATAATGGGTATATAATGCCTATATTAAGAGTATATACCTAGGGGTCCTCATTAAGGGTCCCTCCTTTTACTCTTGGATTCAACTCTAAAGCAAGTTGCCTTACATCCACGCAACGGGAAAGACACATACACAGAGACGAAACAGCAAAAGCCCGAAAGCCTCCTTAGGATGCTCCGGGTCTCCATCTCAATGACGGCACACGAGCCAGAGGCCTGGCATTGGGGCTTCGAAGCCTCTCGTCATAAGGACCCCTCGGGGGGCTGGGGGGGCCTTAATACCTGGAATAAGGGCTTAACAAGTCCTATTCGAGCCCGCAGACGCTGGGTTGAGGGGTTGTGAGTCCATGATGGGGGAGGGATTTAGGGAAGTATAGTCCCCTACCCCCCTCCCCCCTAAACCTTAAACCCCTCTCGAGAGCTCGGGGCTTCAAAGGGCTGCTGCGATTGCTAGGATTGGTTGCTGTAGTTACCCCGCTGGCGCAGTAGAGTTTAGGGTTTAGGGTTTTCGGGTTTAGAGTTTCGAGAAAAATCTGCGAAATAAGTTCGGCACTGCACCCACTCGGTAACAGTTGAATAATCTTCATAATCTAGATATATTCGGCCCTTGATAGTATCCCTACTATAGACTCTTACTGTATGGGGCAAAACCTAAGGAATAAGTAGTAAGGTGATGGCTGCCAGTATCATCATTCGAGCTGCGGCGTGTTGGACGGACCGTCCTGCTGCCGCATTACTATCGTAATTTAATCGTTACGAGATCTTGCAGCTACGCCAAAAAATCGGATTTAGACCTTGTTTGGCGCCTCTTGGTATTGGCACACTTTCGGTCGCATGCTTGGGCCCGCATATTGGGATGCGGCGTGCTGCTCCTACCCTTTGCAATTGCAAAAATCTACGAAATTTGGTATCATAGTCCCTAAACCCTAACCCCTAAACCCTAAACCCTATCATAGTTCACTCTGCGGGATGGTTTGGTGCTGTGTTCGCTTTACGGAGCTGCTTGCATGGTTTTCTGCACCATATGGGTAGTTGTCAAAATTAGGGTACCCACTAAATAGTAGGTGCCGTACTATACTAGGGACCCAAAAAAAGGCCAGAATTTTGATAACCACCCATATGTGTGTGAACGCCAGCTCTGACCCCTAAACCCTTTTTTGCATCCAGGCCTCTTGAAGTCTTGCCGGCTCCGAAACCCTGAACCCGAAACCCTAAACCTCTAAGCCCATGAACCTCCACTGTCTGGTTCTTAGTAGGGAATGGGGGAACGGATCCCCATAGTAGTCCCTATCAAATAACCGATAATAGTCCCCATGCCCCCATTCCCTACTAAGAACCAGACAGTCTAAACCCTACACCCTGAACTGCCATCACAAGGTTTTTTCAGCCCTTGCAAGGCATGGGCCAGAAAGCCCAAAACCCTCAGTTAAGGAAGCCAGCCTTAAGTTAGGGTTCCTTTAAGGGCCCTTTTAAGGGTTTTTATAGAAGGACTATGGCTTAAATCATAAAAGGAAGCCCCTCACAATTTACGGTGCATTCCTTAATTATGGGTTGCTGGGCTCTTCGACGACACCTGACGATTGAGGAGTTTCGGGCTTCTGTCACGGACCTCATGGGGGGTTCTGTGGTATAGGGTTTCTGAAAGGGGATTCTATGAAGGTTCACAGGTTCTGACACACCGGGCGTCTATAATTGTTGTACAGGGTTCGCTTATGTAGTGCTTTCTTTGGGGGGTGGATCCTTACCCTAACACACCTAAAGCATTTTATAGTATGGTCTTTGTTAAATCTGAGTCCTTAGAGTCTCTAAACCTTGAACCCTTTATTGCATACTATTGTAAACCATTTTGTGCTATAGTCTACTGCTGTTTATTATTGGACTAGAATAAACTCCCCAAATCCGTGAAGGAACGAACGCTTTGAAAGGAAAATCTGAACCCGGAACCTCTCCAGCGAGCATCAGCCGACCATCGTCTCGCCAAGCCACGCACTGGGTGAGGTCCTTCAGAAACGACTCAGGGTTTAGGGTTTAGGGGTTTAGAGTTTGGGGTTTAGGGTTTAAGGGTTAAGGGTTTAGGGTTTAGGTTTAGGAATTTAGGGGTTCAGGGTTTCGGGATTCAGGGTTATTAAGGTCAATAATTAAACCAGGGTTTTGGGGCCCATTATACTATAAATATAATATGGAACCCCCAAAATAGTGTTGGTAATTACTTAGGCCCCTGTATTACGTTTAAGATTCAAGACTTCGACTAAGCAGTTCCCGAGTGGTGCTCTTCGGGCCATACTCAAAGGATCATGGGACTTAGTAAGTGTAGGGTTCCTTAAAGGGTTCTTTCACGACATCTATAAGGGTTCTATAAGGGGGAGTTTAAGCTTCTTAAAGCATCATGAGACTTAGTAAGTGGGTTATAATTGGGGTTAGAACTTCCCTAACTGCTGTTATCCTAATTAAAACCTACTTATGACCTTACTTACTAAGTCCCATGCGCCTTTAAATAGTCTTCGGGGAGTTGGGGCAGATTCCTCATGCCTACATGCACTAAGTCCACGCAGAACAAGGAAACCCAGCCCATCAGCAAAAGACGTGCTAAATTTGGAAGTTTGTTCAAGCCCCCAAACTTACTCATGAAAAACCTCGCCGAGAAGAAAAAAGCAATGAGCCACCTACTGTATGAATGTCATACAGCCCGTGTTTTCTAGAACCATACATGGGAGTTACAGAAAATGTCCGTTTCCCAAATTGTAAGATCCCGTCCTAAACACAGAACCCAAAGCTATCGAAGTTAAAGATCTCGGGAACCGCGGAACTTTGAACTCTAAACCCCTGAGGCCCGGAATACTTTTTAAGTTTTTCAATCCGTCTTCACGCCGCGTCTCGGCTGGGGACCACTCGCCAAGCAGACCTGGATTCATCGTGCGTCTGCTGCGCAGCTGTGATGATCGCTCGCTTGACTCCAGCGTTGAGAGTCTCGGCGTTGCGAGGCAAGGCTTACAACGGTTGATAATAGAAATCCTGCATTACCTTAAGGACCCTAAACTATGGGAATCATAGTATCTTCCTTATTCTGGGTATTGCAGGATTTGTATCATCAACCGAAGGTCTGTGGAGCTCCGGGGTCTGGATCTGTTGCAATGACCGATTTGTTCGGGAAAAAATAATACATTTCGTGACCCGAGTGACATTCAAGTCTGTAGTCTTGCTCCCAGTGGCGGCAGCGGACTTCTGGTGCTTCTTATCATTGAACAAGGGCTTCTGATCTCCATACCAGCTCGTATCTCCATACCACCATCTGGCCGCCCGATCCGCCCGTCGCTCTTTGCGACTGCCGCACTCCTTCCCCATCCGGCGACGTAGGGAAACTTAAACCCTAAACACTAAAGCCCGAACCTTCAAGGAACCCTTAAAGGAACCCGTAAAGTAAAGGAACCCTGAGAGAAACCCTGAAAGGAACCCCGAAAGGAACCTTTCCAGGAACCCTTAAATGAAGCCGTGGAGACCAGAAGGAGACGCTGAAAAGAACCTTCAAAGGGGCCCTGAAAGCAACCTAGAGACTCCAATATCCTTTAATTAAGGAATATTCCTTAAGTCATATTAGGGATCCTACTATAATTTAAGGTATGTTCCTTGATTAAGGGATATTGGAGTCCCTGAAAGCAACCCAAAGGGCAGTCCTTGAACTTTGAGATCGAGTTGGTCTCCTCGAGCGTGCCATCCTGCGGAATTCGGCGGGTGGTGCTGTGCTTCCGAGCATGAGGAGGCTGATCAGGATGGGGATGATGATGAGGAGGAGGAGGATGATGACGGTCATGATGATGATGATGATGATGACATCTCCCTGTCTTTCAAGTTGGATGCCACACTTAGTATTAGTAGCGCTGTTGCTGTTGCTGCTGCTCAGTCGTCTAGCTAGTATGGTTACTTGGGATAGTGCGACCGTGATGTATGGCAACACTGTCCCCATCCAGCCTGTGAGCAGTCCTCCGGTTCTGCTTGTTATCAGATGTTATGACCCTGATTTTGACTTATAGCGAGCTTTCGCATCAACTGCCACATGTTATCTTGACTACAGGTACGATTGTGTTTGCTATTCCCATCATCACGTTTCAGTTGCAGCTACCTTTCCCACCACCGCTATCTTGCACATGTGGGTCTCTGGTCGTCGCTGCCGGGTTCGCTGTGTGCACCATCGGGAATCAGCTGTCTTCCTCAAAACTTTAAAAACCCAAACCCTAAAACCCTAAACTCATAACGCCTTGAACTTTGAACCCTGTAGCCACCTACCTCTTCAAGAGCCTCTGGAAACCCTACCCGCTCCGAAGCCCCGACCCGGAGAACCCTAAACCCGAAAGCCCAAACTCCAAAATCCCCAATAGATCCCTTAAAGGAATCCCTAGGTCCCAGGTATATTCCTTAGTTAACGGATACTTAAAAGCTCATGGGACTTAGTAAGGTTATAAGTAGGTTACCCACTTCTAACCCACTTTCTGAGTCTCATGATCCTTTAAGTAGCCTAAACTCCCCCTTATAGAACCCTTATAGATGCCGTAAAGGAACCCTTTAAGGAGCCCTACTTACTAAGTCCCATGATCCTCTAAGTAGACCCTAAAGCCTACACCCTTAAAGGGAGCCCTACTATAGGACCCTGTAGCACCCTTAAAACGAACCCTAAACCTTACTTACTAAGCCCCAAGATCCTTCTAAGTATACCATAGAAACCTTACCCTTATAGACCCCTTTGAGGAACCCTTTAACGGAACCCTAAAACCCTATTCTACTTGCTAAGTCCCATGGCCCTCTAAGTGCTAGACCCAAGAGTAACCTAGGAATAAAGAGGCTGCCCTTTTTGGGTTAAAAGCGGCTGAGAAGGTAACCTGAACCCTACAAAAATGGGAATAAGGGCCTACTCTAGGTCCTAGAGTATAGATCCCTTACAGACCCCTTTCAGGAACCCTAAAACCCTATTCTACCTGCTAAGCCCCATGGCTTAGAAGCTGCCCCCACCCTGTAATAGTGACTATAAGGATTATATAGGGCTGTATTAGGGCCCTATTATATTCCTATTATACCACTACGGTTGATGATATAAATCCTGCATGACCTTAAGGACCCTAAACTATGGAAATTATGGTATATTCCTTATTAAAGGTAATGCAGGATTTATATCATCAACCGTATTACAGGGTGGGGGCAGCTTCTAACCCATGACCCACTAAGTGGAGGAGCCCCGGAGCCTTGCTGGGAGCGCTCTGCCAGAGTCCCACTTTCCTTTTCCATGTGGGGGTTTCCAAAAACAAGGGGTACCATATTTTGGGATCCTTATAATAAGGATCCTACTATTTAGGGTACTATATTATATAATGTCTGTGGTTGTCAAACTTAGGGTCCCTTTTTTGGTTCCCTAATATAATACGGCACCTATTATTTAGGGTACCCAAAACAGGACCTTAATTTTGATGTCCACCCATGGGGCGGTTTGGGGTTTAGGGCTTACGGGTTTGGGGTTTTAGGGCTTGGGCTTAGGGGGTTTAGGGTTTAGGGGGTTTGGGGTTTACGGTCCGCTGGGTTCCACTTCTAAGGCTGCCATGCACTCCGGACTGTACATCGAAGACCAGGACTGGGTTCTTTAGGGTTTGGCTTTCTTTACGGTTTTCGTTCTATAAAACTTTGGGTTCAGGGTTTGCGGTTTCGAGTTTAGGCTAGGGCGTTTTTCTATCGCTTCGTGTTCGTTTTTACACAGGTTCGACAGAATTTTTTGTTGGGTTTGGGATCACTTAAGACGAAGCAGGGGCCTGATACCTTTTAGTCCGTGACGCTTGGAGCATTTTTTGGGGGGGGGCCGAAGCTTTAGGCCTTCGAGTATACAAGGCCTTCGGGCCTGAGGGTGTAGGGCTCTGGCTTCAGGATCACCGGTTTAGGGTTTAGGGTTTAGGGTTTAGGGTTTAGGGACCCCACTTAGGGGGCTTATAACCCCAATTATAGCCTACTTGCTAAGTCCCTGAGCTCTAAGACTCTCCAAGCTTGTATTCAGGATCACCCCAGCTCGGGGACTTCTAAGCCCACTTATAACCTACTTGCTCCCCCTAGCTCTAAACCCTAAACCCTACTTGCTAAGCCCCCTGAACCCTTAAGTAACCTCGAAGCCCTAAACCGAGACCGCGCCGCTAGGACAGGGGTGGGGGGTGTTAGTTCTTCCGGAGTATTGACCCCCCCCCCCCAAGAGGCGGGGAGTCGTAGTCATCATTCAAGGGGGGGGGGGTTCATACTCCGGGAGTATTAAGAGGGGGGGGGGTCATGGTCCAGGAGGGGGGGGTTCATACTCCATGAGTATGGAGGGGGAAGATTCATAGTCCCGCAGTATGGAGGGGGGAGTTATATTCCAATATGGAGGAGGGGGTCAAGTTCGAAGAAGGACAACAACAGGGTTGTAGGAGCGTGTTCGCCAAAACACAAGAAGGACAGAGCCACATGCAAACGCATTAGGGGGGCTAAAGCAAGCAAGTACAGTTCATCATGACGATGGAAGGCTTGCAAATGGGGGCGGCTGCGCCCCCCCAACCCCCCCGCTTGTCTTAGGCTCAACCCCCCCTTGTTTCGAGCCGCCAGGAAAAAAAGCGTTCGCCAACACAAGAAGGAAAGAGCCACATGCAAACACTTCAGGGGTTGAAAAGCAAGGAAACACAACTGAGCAGGAATCATTTGGCAGGTTTGCAAAAGGGGAAGGGAAGGGTAAGAACGACAACCCGGGGGGGGGGGTGTTGTTTTCTCAAGAATGCAGGGAACAACAAGCGGAGGCGGGGTTGTTGTTCTTTCAAGAGGGAGGGAACAACAACGCAGGCGGGAGATTGTTGTTCGCTCAAACTACTACTACTCTAACCACTAGTGATTTATCTGCAAATTTGAAAATGGAGGCTGAGATGCAGCGTCTGTCGCAGCTCGTTCGCAGCTCAACAAAAAAAGACAAAGGCGGCCAAGAACTCAACATGGCAGGTACTACTACTACTACTACTACTACTACTCCTACTACTACTACTACTACTACTACTACTAGTACTAGTACTAGTACTAGTACTAGTACTAGTACTAGTACTACTACTACTACTACTACTACTACTACTACTACTACTACTACTACTACTACTACTACTACTACTACTACTACTGTTACCACCACCGCCTGTATCAGGGTTCCTTATATGAATCCTACTATTTTTGAACAAAATGCCCAGGGTTTCTTGATCAGGTTCCTACATCAAAACCTGAACCCTACACTCCTACACCGAGCCCTTAACCCCGAACCCTCAACCTTCAACCCAAAACCCGTAGAACCTTGAACACAGCCGTGTACTACAGCAACCAATTCCAGACTACTACTACTAGTACTACTACTACTACTACTACTACTACTACTACTACTACTACTACTACTACTACTACTACTACTACTACTACTACTTACTACTACTACTGCTACTACTACTACTACTACTACTACTACTACTACTACTACTACTACTACTACTACTACTACTACTACTACTACTACTACTACTACTACTACTACTACTACTACTACTACTACTACTACTACTACTACTACTTACTACTACTCTACTTCTCCTGCTCCTTCTTCCTCACCCGACAAAATACTACAACAACCATTCCCAAAGAGACCCCCCCCTCCCCAAGAGTACGAGTCCCCCCCCCCTCAATAGTCTTGGAATAGACCCCCCCCCCTCAATACTCCTGAAGTATGAACCCCTTCCCCCCCTCAATACTCCTGGAGTATGGACCCCCCTCCCGTCCCCTCAATACTCCCGCATTAAGAACCCCCCCCCCTCAATACTCCTGGAGAACCCCCCCCCCCCTCAATACTCCTGGAGTAAGGACCCCCCCCCCCCTCAATAGTCCGAGAGAACGAACCCCCCCCACCCCGCTAACGGCGCTATCTGCCTAAACCCGAACCCAAAATCGAACTCTCGAGCCTACCCAGAGAGCCCAGTACCCCTTAATTCAGGAATGTAACTCTACGGCCCCTTTACAATTCAAGGTGAATTCCTGAATTGAGAGGTTCTGGGCTCTCTGCGTACTGCTCTGTCGGTCTCGACATAAACCTGTAGAACACAAGCATCTCTGGGTGGTCTTTCAAGTTTTTTGTCGACGGCCCTTTTCCGATCTGCTGACAGCGTCCCTGAAGGTTTAGGCTTTAGGGTCTACTTGGGGGGTTAGGGTTTAGGGGTTTAGGGGCTTGGAGCTTAGGGGAAGCTTAGGGTTCGGAGTTTAGAGTAGGACAAACAACATGTCGCTAGTCGTTTCGAGTGGGCCGGAGCCGCCGGACGACCCAGAAAGCCAAATACCCCGGAATTACGAAGCCAGGGTTCCTGAAAAGACCCCTCTAAGAGCTTTACGGTTCAGGGTTTTGAGTTTAGGGTTGTTCAGGCTTTAGGGTTTTTTGTGTAATAAGGGCTTTAACGAAGGAATACAGCTCAAATCGCAATATGAAGCCCCCTTACAAGCCGTCGCAGCCATCCACAAGATCGTCTAGTATGGGGGCCTTAACAATTAGAATAGGGTTTTGGGGTCCATTATACCATAATTATAATAAGGAACCCCAAAATAGTATAGGTAATGATTAAGGCCCCTACATTAAATCAGTTTCTAAGGCCATTTGTAAGCCTGAATGAACCCTTAGCTCTTGCTTGGGTTAGGAGTTGGGGTTTAAAGTTTACGGGTTGAGGGTCCCAAGGGTGCTTTGGTGGTGCACCGTTGAATCAAACATGAGCACTACACTTTTCGAGACTGCAATCCACAAAAAGTCGACACCAGCCACCTAAGAACGACCACCTCACCCCTGGAAGCGACCAACTAAGCCTGAACGACAGATGTTGCGAGTTGTCCGCTGGATTTTAGAACTAATTGCCGACATTCCTGTATTACCCGACAATGCAAGTTCCAACGGAGTTTCGGAGATCGGAATAAGAATTAACTAACATTCATAAACATGCCGTTAAAAGATTCTACTATTACAAAACTGTAATTAGCCCAAGCCCAAAACCCGCTTCGAATCCTTGAGGCCCCTGTAGCAATCGACTTCGTTGCGATGCGAGCATCGTCCCGCTGACGACCGCCAGCTTGTGCGGAGTGGCCGGCGAGAATGCCACGCTGACGACACGCCGGGCCTCTCTGCCGACTGCGAACTGATAGGGGGTAGAGGTGAGGACGTGGGCATTGACGTTTAGGGTTTGGGACTTTGGGTTTAAGAATTGGGGGTTTAGGGTTTAGGACTTTTGGTTTAGGAATTAGGGGTTTAGGGTTCAGGACTTCGGGTTTAGGACTTAGGGTTTAGGACTTAAGGTTCAGGAATTAGGGCTTAGGACTTAAGGTTTAGGGCTTAAACATTAAGCTTTAGAACTTAAGATTTAGGAATTAGGTTCAGCGTTTCGGAATTAGGGCTTAGGTCTTTTTGCCTACGATGGCGGAAGTTCGGTCCAGGGTTTGGGTTTAGGATGGCAGGGTTGCTGAAGGGCTTTACAGATCGGGCCTTGGGGTTTTTGGGTTTAGGGTTTAGGGGTTTTGAGCAGGGACCGGGCTTTGGGGCTTAGGGTGAAGGGTAGCAAACAAGTATGTTATGCTGTCACTATATAGGGGTTTCCGAAAATAGGGGACCCTAATATAGTACCCTAGATAGTAGGATCCTTATTTGTAAGGACCCCTAAAAAAGGTGCCCCTATTTCGGAAACTCCCATATCGGGACTGCATGACTAGCACTAACCGTTTCGACGCGTACTTGGAGGGTCGGGGGACTTAGTAAGTAGATAACAAGTAGACTTATAAGTATCAGAACCCCAATTAGGGTTCCTTTTAGGGTACTTATAAGTCTTCTTACCATCTACTTACTAAGTTCCCCGACTCTCCAAGTACACTACGCACTGCAGGCTTCGGATGGAGCACCGGGGCAGAGGGCTCCTAATTTATTGAGGCCCTGAGTCTTGAAATCATGCAATAACCTAGGGGCCCTGATTTTTTTTGGGTGGGATTCCTTATTGTGGTTAAAGTATAATATACCCTAAAACCATATTCTAACTGTTGAGGCCCCACTTTTTAGCCAGGTCTTGGGATGCTCGGGGGTTTAGGGCTTATATAGGTGCACACGCCATTCAATGTGCACACAACAACCCTAAAGCACCAAGCTATGAAACAAGCACTTCAGAAACATAAGTCGCAACCCTCTGAACATAGGGTCCTAAATCGGTACTTCGTCTTGGAATTGAGTTTGATCAGCGGCTTACTGAATTGTGTTTTGTCTTCCTTCCCTCGCTCTCTCGAGCGTTCTCTCTTTCGCTCACTCTCCTTGTCTCTATGTCGCTCTCTCTATCTCTATCTCTCTCTCTCTCTCTCGCGAACGCTCTCTCTTCGCTCTCTCTTCCGCTGACGCTCTCTCTCTGTCTCTCTGTCTCTCTGTCTCTCTGTCTCTCTGTCTCTCTGTCTCTCTGTCTCTCTGTCTCTCTGTCTCTCTGTCTCTCTGTCTCTCTGTCCCTCTGTCCCTCTGTCTCTCTCTCTCTCTCTCTCTCTCTCCTGCTGCCTCCTGGTTCTTGAAGCTCACCTTGTAGCCTTTGTAGGACTTCGCCTGTCGAATGAGCGCAGCTCGGCATTGCTGTACTGTAGTGTTTTGAGGCCAAGTGCACTATAGTTAAGGAGCCCCCAAAATTGTACAGGTAATTATTATTACCCCTGGGGTAATAAATGGTGACTACATTGCCCAAGCCCCTGCCATAAGACACTCCAAACCTCCTGAAAAGGGGAACGTCCCACACCCGAAACGGTCGCCGAATGCCGAGGATTGTATCCCCTGGCTTGCTCTCAGGCCCAGGTAGTTTGAAGTGCAGACACGCAAATGGATAGGTTGATAAGGCAGGCTCGAGCGCGTCGCGACCTGCTGCCTCCAACCCTAATTATTTCATAGAGTACAGGCAAATAACTTATGAGACTTAATTGTTGACTTAGTGCAGACAACCCGCAATCCCCCCGAACTCAACACTCCCAAATCCGAACCGGGCCGTTTGGCCTGTAATTCAAGTCTTAAACCAAACATGGTTTAGGTTTTAGGGTTTAGGGGTGGAAGCCCAAAACTCAAAGACCCAGAGAACGAGAGCATAACCGAAACCCTAAGCGCCGTAAACCTCTACAGTCCCAAGCCCTGAAAATAATTTGGCTCTTGGGGTCCCGACTGAGAGGCTCAGAATACTTTGAAAGAGTAGTCCCACTTAGGGACCCTAAACCTTGCAGGGTTTAGGGTTTAGGGTTTAGGGTTTAGGGTTTAGGGCATAGGCTTTAGGGTTTAGGCCTAACGCCAATCATGACCTCCATTCTCTGTCGCTTAAGCCTTTCCGGCTGATTCAAAGTAAGGGCCTTCATCATCAGACTATGGCTTGGGGGGTCCATCATAATAGGGACTATAACCCAGAGACTCCAATATCCCTTAATTAAGGAATATTCCTTAAATCATGTTTGAGATCCCACTATAATTTAAGGTATATTCCTTTTTTAAGGAATATTGGAGTCTCTGGGAAGCAACCCCAGGTGCCTTCAAGGACGTGTGTCACGTGCGTCTTCGGCCGCTTAGTGTTTCGGGTCTGGGGTTTGGAGATTAGGGTGTTACTTAGAGGATCATGGGACTTAGTAAGTAGGTTATAATTGGGGTTATAAGTCCCCTAAGTGGGGTTATCCTAATTATAAGCTACTTTTAACCTTACTTACTAAGTCCCATAGCCTTTAGGTAGACCCTAAACCCTAAACCCTTCTCATAGAACCCTATAGTACCCCTAAAAGGAACCCTAACCCTTACTTACTAAGTCCCATGAGCCTTTAAGTAGGGTGTTAGAGTTTCCGGGCCTGGGGTTCCAGGGTTTGGGGGATTAAGGTTCAAGATTCCTCTTAAGGGTGCTATAGGATTCTATATTAGGGTTAGGGTTTAGGGGTTTCGGGGTTCAGGGTTTGGGGGACTAGGGTTTTTGGGTTTGGGCTTAGGGCTTGAGGGTTCTTGGTTTCCGCAAGTTCGACACATATCTTGGCAACAGTTCTGACGGAGCTTCATCACTATACTGAACTTAGAACCCTAGCAACAATTGTAATTTTAGCTGTTGCTTAGGGGTTATAATAACAAAAAATTAAAAATTATTTCTAGGTACGCTTAAGATCAATCAAGTTTCGCCTTGAACTCGTGACATCCAGGAACATGCGCGCTGTGTGGTTTCGCTTCAGCTTTATCCCGAATCTCATAGCGAAGTAAACAGACAACTTCTGGTTTTCGGGTTTAAGAGTTTGGGGTTAAGGAGCTTAAAAACCCTAAAACCCTGAACCCTAAACCCCTAAACCCCAAAACCCTACACCGTAAACCCTCAGAACACGCCATGGCTTATAGCGCTGCGCCTCGGGTCCGAGTTCCTCCACCTTCCGCGGCTGCACCAGCGGCTTCACCTCCAACCTGGGCCCAGAGACACCGAAAATGTGAGGGCTTACTTCGGCTTATGGTTTGGGGTTCAAGGTTTAGGGGTTGGGGGTTTAAGGGTTTTGGGGGCTTAGAGTTTAGGGGTTCAGGGTTTAGGGTGGTGGGGCATACCATCGGATAATTAAAGATGTACCGAGGAAGCTTAAGCAGACCTTTAAAATCCAAGGCGTTAGTCTGAAGCCCTAAACCCCCAAAACCCCGTAATCCCTCAACGCACAAACCCCTAAACCCAAAAACACATTAACCCTTAAACCCCCAAACCCCTTAACCCCTCAACCCTTAAACCCCCAACCCCCAAACCCCTGAAAACTTAAACCCCTGAACTCGTAGGCTAAGCTTTCGGGCTGTGGCGGCTTTGGGACTACAAGAAGGCCCGAGCACTTTCGCCACGAAAGTTGCAGGCATTCGCGAGTTCAGGGCTTCCATGCGAGGAACTTTCTGCCTTTCTGCCCGAGGTTACGGGTACAGGGTTTGGGCATTGCATCAAACGCAACTTTTATCAGAGCTCTGTGCGGGCTTTATGGCTACTCCCCGCAGAATTTCACTTGGCCTTCAACTTCAAGGGTTTCATAAAGCTCAGACAAGGATGTGACGCGTTTCAGCGCGAATCTAGGCCATGCAGTTCGGCCCTTGGATTGGGCTTTGACGTTTTCGCCACAAACCAGTATTATAGTAAAACTGGCCGCAAAAACCCTCTCCTAATTAGGGCACGTACGCTATAGCACCATTATAGACCACTTACAGTAGCCCTTATACCCAGAGACTCCAATATCCCTTTAAGGATTATTCCTCAAATTATGGTAGGATCCCGAATATGATTTAAGGTATATTCCTTAATTAAGGGATATTGGAGTCTCTGGGTAAACCCCTGTCAAGGAGCCCTATTCAACAACAAGGCCCGGAGCGGCCGCACTGCAACAGCAGCAAATTCCGTGGACCCTAATGTAGGAACCTGATTAAGAAACCTTGGGCCTTTTTTAGGTTTCTTATATGAATCCTACTATTTTGGGGTTATGGGCCCAGGGTTTCTTAATCAGGTTCCTACATTATGTCCCAGACCCTGCACTAACGTGCTCGGAACTACCCGGGTAGTTCGCTAAATTAGGCCCCCCCGGTTGGATTCGCAAAACAGTACGGTACCCTTATGAACAGGACCCTAAATCCCTAAACCCTGAACCCTGCCTCCAAACCAAACTCAACATGCTCAGGGCCAGAAGCAGCCTTCATGCACAGTAAACTCCAAAGCAATAACGAACCAGTGATTTTGGGGGCTACCTTGGCTCTTTAGCTCCTTTTTTACAGGGATTATCATCATCCCTGGCTCCTTAGCTACCCCAAAATCAACGGTTAGATAACTCGGCCAGAGAAATCTGGACACCGAAGTGCCCGTTTTAACACAAGAGAAAAACACACCTTTCCACAAAAAGCAAGACAGGCCTAAACCCGAAAAACTAGACTGTGAACAAACCCTAAATACCCTCAAACCCTCCAAAGCCCTAAATCGGGTGAAAGCTGGAATGTCCCTTCTCATGTCGTCCGCTCACTCTCCGTGTGACTCCCAGGATGTCTCTGTACTCCAGCATCCTCATGGCATATTCTCTTGCCTTGTGGATTCTGAAATTACTCCCCTTCTCGTTGTAGAGCACGTGGTGATTGTCCACAGGTACCGTGCTGAGCAGGCAATCACGGATCGCGTCTCACACAGCAAGCTTTCCATGCTGAAACATTAGAATCCTCTGTAGAATCGTAGGTATAGGCTGAGTATCCCAAGCTCCCGTCAGAAGCCACTAAAGAGCGACAGTTTGATATCTGCCCCAGATAAGCCTTTGCCGTAGTGTTCGCTGCTGCCTATAAGGAGCGAATCATCTAGCGGGTATGCCTTTCCGGTATTGGATTTACCCCCTGACCAGAACCTTCCTAACCACACCGCCCCAAAAACCAATCCTTACTGGAAGTGTTGTCAAAAAAAAGCAGGCAAAGCAGAAGCCTTCTCAGAGAGTCTCAGTACGCGCCGAAGCACGCGCAGACCAAGCTCCAGCGCTCATGGACTTCTTTAAATTAAAGAAAACAAAACCCTGCACCAGACCCTAAACCCTAAAACCCTACGACCCGAAACACCCAAAACCCCCAAACCCCTAAACCCCCTAAACCCCAAAACGCCGAAACCACAAACCCTCCAACCCTACGGCCCTAAGAAGCTTTTATTTAGGCCGAAAACAACCGGGAGGATCTCCTAAACCCTAAACCCTAAATCCGAAACCCTAAACCCTAAATCCGAAACCCTAAACCCTAAATCCTAAACACTAAACCCTAAACACTAAAAGGATCTCGGGCCCTGGCGGATCGCCCATGGCTTCAGCGCGCCGAGCCCGGAGTGCGAAGAGTGCCCATGGGACCCGAGCTCGGTTTCGGGTTTAGGGTTTACGGTGTAGGGTTTAGGGTTTATGGGTTTTGGGTTTAGGGTTTCGGGTTTAGGGAAGCTCGGTTTTGGGTTTACTTACCTTGAGTTAGTAGGGAATGGAGGGGGTACAATTATAACTACTATTATTACCAGTCTTAGACTTCCCTACTAGCCACAGGTAAGTTTAGGGTTGAAGATAGGATAGGATCTAAGGTTTAGGGTTACAAGACAGGATAGGATTTCGGGTTTAGAGTTTAGGGCTTGAGATAGGATAGACTTAAGGACTGGAGCGTGGCATTTACAGCTTTGGGTTTTGGGTTGAGAGCTTCGAGTTTGGGGTTTAGGGCTTCGGGTTTGGGGTTTAGGGTTGGGGCTTGCAAGCGCTTTGTAGCGATTTTGGAGTTTGGGGTTAAGGGTAAGGGCTTTGCATACGTTTACTGAGAGGGTTTAGGGTTTACTGCGCTGTTGCGCATGTTTTTGGTACGGGCTTTTGTAGGGCTTTCTTCTGATTCTCTTAGCGCATATGCTAGGATTGTTTTTCGTAAGCATTAAAGGTCTTCCTGTCTAGGCGTAGTGTAGCGCGAACGGCTGCTCTGGGCTGGGGCCCAAACACAGAACGATAGGGGGCGTCTAGGTTTCGAGGATCACATTTGAGGGCTAAGCACTTGCGGATTTAGGAGTGTGGCTCGGGGTTTACACTGATCGATGTGTTTCTGAGATTTATGCTTTTTCAGGGCTTGGAGCAGCCACATTTCGGTCTGCATAGAGCAGGGGTTGTTGGTGTGGGCTTCGTTTAGGATGCATGGCTTCCGGATGCTGAAACGTAGGATTCATAACGCTTTAAAGCAGTGTTTAGGCAAACAGATGTGGGAGTTTCCCAAAAAAGGGGACCCTAATATAGTACCCCACATAGTAGGATCCTTATTATAAGGACCCCCAAAACAGGGTACCCCTAATTTTCGGAAACTCCCATGTACGACCTCGGGACCACTTGCAGCAGCCACCAGGATCTGCATAGGGACAAGCAGGGCCCACCCGGCCCGAAGCCACAGATCTTAGGGTTTAGGGTTTAGGGGTTGAGGTTTAGGGTTTAGGGGTTTAGGGGTTTAGGGGTTTAGGTTTTGGGTTTAGGGTTTAGGGGTTTAGGTTTAGGGTTTAGGGTTTAGGGTTTAGGGGTTTAGGGTTGAGGGTTTTGGCCTGAGCCCAGAACCCAGGGATGGCTTATAAAGTGTAGGGTTTGGGGTTTGGGGTTTAGGGGCACTGCAGATTGTTGAAATATGGTTTCAGGGCAGGATACCTTATATTTTACCATAAAGGGTTTAGGATAATCATATTCCAACTTTCTGGCTTTTACTTTAGGGGTATAAAGCAGATCCCTCTAAAGCACCGAGTAGCAGCACCGGTCACCACATCTGAAGGTCCAACGAAACCTGTGCATGTCCTCCTCTTTTGTTACAAGCGCTGTAACGGATCTGTCTCAGCAGGCCCCTCCCATTCCGGCGACGCCCTGGCATTGAGGATTTTTTAGGCACTGGGATTGAAAGTTTAGGACTGGTTTCAGACTTTGGCTTAAGGGATCCCTCGGCCCTAAACCATCAGACACGGCAATATGACAAGATCAACATCCTCATCCTCTATCCTCATCCTTCCCATCACCATCATCATCACCACGAGCCCTAAACCCTCGACCCTTGTTTAAAGGATCACGGGACTTAGCAAGCAGGTTTCAATAGGGGCTATAAGTCCCGTATGTGGGGTTATCCTAATTATAACCTACTTATAACCTTACTTGCTAAGCCCCATGATCCTCTAAGTAAACCCTCAACCCTAAACCCTTATTATTGAACCCTATAGTACCCTGAAAAGGAACCCTAAGCCCTTGCTTACAAAGCCCCATGATCCTCTAAGTAAACCCACAACTTAGGGGCTCTGAGTTGCATCCGTCGCCTGCCGAAGAGGCCGCCGAGCTCAGGCATCGCCAACTGCCTTTGGCTGGGATGTAAAGCAGCCAAAACCCTCGTAGTGATAGTTGTAGTCGTCGTAGTAGTAGTCGTAGTAGCAGTGGTGGTGGTAGTAGTAGTAGTAGTAAGAAGAAGAAGAATACTAATAAATGTAGAGGTGTAGTAGTAGAAATAATAAAGATAATGAATACGTTCAAACCCTAAACTTAAGCTTCAGACCCTAAAGCCTCAACTCAAACTCAAACCCTAAGACCTATTTATGAAGCTTAAATCCTCAGCCCTACATCCTAGACCGAGAACCAACGCCCTACACACCTTAAACGCGAAACGGTTCAGTGGTTAGGGTTTCGGGCCTCCGGTTCAGAATTCAGGGTGTCGGGCTTCGGGTAAGAATTCAAGGTTTCGGAATCGTAGGATTTGCCGTTTGTGGTTCGGGATTTCCTGCGGATACTTTCGCATTCCGTCTCAAGTTTTGGCTAAGGTGCTGGGCCCTAGGTATTCGTACACCACAACTCTAGACCCAAACTGATCCCCTTAAGCCTAAGCCCAGCAATAAGAATCACCTAAAAGCACTGAAAAAAACCTTTCGAAGAAACCCTAAACCCGAAAGCCTAAACCAAACACCCTAATAGGAAGCCACAGAAGCCCTAAAAACCTGAAAGGAGCCCTTGTAGGAACCCTGAACTGGTTGTTGAAGTAACCAGGGAGAAAAAAGTATAGACTTTTTTCTCATGATCGGTTCCCTTTAAGTAAAAGGTCCCCAAAAAGTATTAAAGCATGGTACTCCAAAGCCCAGTGAAACAAGGAAACCTTGACACTCACAGCTTCGTGCAGCTCCGCTGCAGGGTCACCCGGGTGGAAGGAAGGATCTTCCGTGCCAAGAGGCTCTCTGCCAAACTCTCCTTCTGAGGGGTTAGGGTTTCGGGTTTAGGGTTTAAGGTTTGGGGTTTAGGGTAGAGGGTTTGGGGTTTAAGGTTTAGGGTTGAGGGTATAGGGTTTACGGTGTAAGGTTTAGGGTTTAGGGTATAGGGTTCAGGATTGAAGGTTAACGGTTTAGGGTATAGGGCTTAGAGTTTAGAAAGGGGCTCTTTGGCAAAGTCTCCCCTGAGGATCTCTTGGGGTTCCTTTAAGGGTTCCGGTGGGGCTCAGGGTTTAGGGTTTCGGAGGTTTTAAGGGCTAAGGGTCTTGGGTGCAGCCGAACCCTGAACCCCAACGGGGCCATTGTAGGTTTAGGGTTCAAGGCCTTCCGATTTGGAGTTTTAGCGGTGTCATCTTTTTATCCCCCACTTCTTGTCTGGGGGGGGTCGAAAATGAAATATTTCATTTCGGACGTCCCTACACATGACAACATGCCCACATGTGCAACACACAGCAGCTAACACGCACTCGGCAGACCATCTCGCTGTTTTTTTTGCTCGCATTCGCGAGCCAGACTCTGCTGCCGTATTGGCGAGCATCTCGCCGCACGGGCCTCGAGCTTGCAGGAGTGCAACCAACCCAGTGCACAATCGCATGCCGAGACCCCCGCAACTGCAGCAGCGTCTCCTTGAGGAGAAAGAAAGCACAGCCTTTAGAGACAGTAGGGCTGTGAGGGTTGACGGAAGAGCCGGATGCACGATCGCATACTGAGATTCCAGCGACCGCCGCAATTCGTGCACCACAGGCCGTCCATCAGGATTCCAGGTGCAACCTAAGAACGGGACTTCAGCGGGGATGCGCGACGACATGGCGGAGCACCGCTGAGCACGGGGCACTGGTGCAGCCTTTTCCCGCACCTCTGCGACAAACTTCCGGAGCTTTTGCAGGCCATCTGCATCCGCGGTGAACTGCAGAAATCTCGTGAGAACTAGCCTGCCAAAGTTCTCCTTGGATGAACAGCCGATGCCCACGACATCAAAGTAGTCTGGCACCTGTTGAATTAGCTCGTCCCAGCGGACCTGACTGGCGCCGATGCGGATGCATCCCTGCTCCAGAATCTTGAGCCCCCGCTTCTCAAAAACATTCGGAAGATCTGACATGTACTTGACGATGTTCTCGGCTCCCTTCACCCCTGGCTTCCCGGAAATCCGAAAGCACACCCATCCGAGGAAGTCGGGCCCCGACCATCTGCAATGGTGTTGCCGGCTCTCCATCCACGGAAGCCTGCCAAATACGAAAGGAGAGGAGCACCAGCAAAGCAGGCAAAGCCGAACCCAACACAGGCAACCCCATGCCTCCGCAAATTCAGGAAGTGCAGCAGAGCCGGTGGCTCCAATCGCCGTCGCCTGGCCATTAGGGTCTGGCTTCGGGGTCAAGGGCGGAAATGCACGAAAGGAATTCAAGGGGGGGGCCCCGACCACCGGTACCATTGCTTGCGAGGACTCCTGCATCAACAGCAAAGTCGAACCCCCAAGGTCACAAACCCCGCAAGCCCCGAAATCTCAACGACCATGTTCCGTCTCGGCCTCGGCCGGTGTCACCGGATCATCAGCCTTCGTGGTGGCCGTGGGGCTTTCAAGTTGAAGGTTCAAGACTTAGGGTTGCACGCTATGTGTCAGAGGTCTGCCTCCCGAGCGAAGCCAAAGTCGCCATCGGCGGTGGATGCTTTCGCATCCACTTTGAGCTGCTCAGGCACCTGCACCAGATACAAGGGAAAAGAAAAATGAAGAGAGAATGACCCCAGAGCCTCGGGACGATGGTTGGCTCGGGCCCAGCGATCAGCCTACCGTCACGGAGCCAGCAGAACAATCGATCACGAACAATCCCGATCCCTGCCTGCTTCTTCGACCGAAAGACTTCCGTCTGCACGCCAGGCGCCGTGAACTGGAATTGGTCTCAGCATGGACAAGAGCAGGAAACACACACATAATGCGACTAATCGGAAAGTAGCGAGCCGATCAGAGATGAGGCCCTGGCACTCATTTCGTGTGCCCCCGTACGATCTGTACCAGCATGTCCATGGCATCGTGGTGTATGCGGATGTGCTTCTATGCTTGTGCTGCAGTAATAAAACCCAGTGCCCAAAAATATGGCTTATCAACCCCGCCCCCTATGCCGTCATAGTGGCTTAAGATCGAATCTTATAAATAAGTTCTAGTACAACCCACTGCCGACAAGGTGGCTTACCAACTCTTCCCCCACTGCCGTCCTAGTGGCTTCATTTCTTACTGATAAATACAATAGTTAGTGGTTTCGCGAGTTGTGCATGTGCGGCTTCGCGAGATAGCAGGTAGGGACTCAGGGAATCTCGGGGATCCATGCATGCACATCCATACACCCTGAGGCAAAATGCCTGAGATCGTGAGCATGCACAAACAGCAAAGCTCACACATGTGCAAAGCCTGCTTCTTTCTCGCTCTCCCACTCTCTGTCTTGGTGTTCTGTTATCTCTCTCCTTCACTATTTCCAATCCGATAGATATATATATATATATATATATACATATATATATATATATATTGAATTAGGACGCAGACACGAATAAATCAAATTATCAACCCTTGAACGTCCCGATCCCAGTTTTGCTATAGTCGCCCCTTCCCCCTTCCCAAAAAAAATGAAAATGAATATTGCAACCTGGGGGGGGGGGTACCCCCCCCCCTGTTTCCAAAAAGAGCAAGAGGGGGATATCTTTTTGTGGTTATAGGCTTAAGGCTTTGAGTTCGGGCGTGTGACCCGAAATCTTAAACCCTAAAACCTAAACCCTGAACCCTAAACCTCAACCCTACAAACCCTTCTCAGGTATCGAGTCCCCTCTCCTCTGATTTAGACGCAACGCTGCGTCAAGCTGCTTACAAAGCTTGGGCTGAAAGGCCCTGGGGCTCTAAGGCCTTAGGGTTTGGGGGTAGGTTCAGGGTGCTGGGTTTTGCTAGGCAGCCGGGTAGCTAACAACTGCAACATCCCTAGATACAGCTCCCATATGGGTGGTTCTCAAAATTAGGGTCCCTTTTTGGGTCCTTGTTATAGTACGGCACCTAATATTTAGGGTACCCAAAAAGGGACCATAATTTTGACAACTAGCCATATGAAAGATCACAAGATGCTTCAGGGATATTCCTTCAGCATGCTTGCAAGCTTGGGGTTGAGGAGCCATCCCAATCCCCACGTCCTGCTGGCGGCTTCCTTGCATTCCGCGGCGCCTGTTTGTCGTGGCGCTGGTGAGATGTAAGGTCTGAGGGAACGACGATGATTTGTGGGGCAGCCGGATGGGCGAATAGAACAACGCTGCACCCTAAAGTGGCTCTACCGGAACACCAGACCCGAAAAATCCTGGACCTGCCTAGATTACACAGAGCAGTCTATAAAGGGTTTAGGGTCTGGGGGACTACAGAAAAGTCTATACAGGCTGCCTCCTCAGCCACTCACGGCAAGCTTCTAGTCTTACCGCTGATTTGTTTTCGCGCAGCAGGAAGTTCAGGAACTGCAAAGCTTTTCTTAAGCTTGGTACACTTCTTCTCGATTTGTGCTGTAAGGTCTAGGCTTGAGGCTTCACAGCTTTTTAAGGTTTAGGGTTGAGGGTTTGGGGCGTAGGTGTCGCGGACTAATGTAGACCCCTGCTTCACAAACTCAATTACCTTAAAGAGAAACTAGAGGTGATCTTAGAGCTCGTACTACATGCAGGTTGAGGAAGTGAGGGCATAGGGTGGAGGGCTCGGACTTTCCGGATATCGGATGAAGACCCCCAGCACTTCGGGATTTTGGGATCTTCGGGCTTCGAGTTTGCGGTTGAGGGGCTTAGGGTTTCGGGTTCGGGGTTTAGGGTTTAGGATTCAGGTTTACGTTTGAGGATTTATGGCTTTGTCGAACTACACGACTTTCATGTTCGTCAATGGAATGACTGCAGGAGCCTCGCCCCTTTCCTTCCGATTAAGTGTCGACTGTCGAGGAAGCCGGCAAGGCTCGATATCCGAAAAATCATAGGATCCGTTTGAGTACGGGCTCCTGCTTAAGGTCTTCACTTATTCTCTGGAACTCCCATATTGGCACTCTGAAACTTCGCAGCTGTTGCCCGAACACAGTGGAATGACAGGCAACGCCATGAAAGACATGTAAACACAGAACCATTCAAGGTTTAGGAACCCCTTCCAGTCTTTCCACTGCGATCAGCATGCACATATGCACGGACACAAAAACTTCAGGGAGCATGCCATCAATCACCATAAGCCACACACCAAACACCCCAAGGGCTCGCACTTGCGAGGCGTGGTGGCTTCGCCGACGAGAGCCTGGCTTGGTGGTACGATCGTTTGTAGATTTACAGGTGTTAAGGGCTCAAGGATGTATTTAAGGTTCAGGGGTTCAGGGTTTACGGGTTTGGGGTTTGGGGGTTTAGTGTTTAGGGCCTGGGGTTTAGGCACTCTTGTAATCAGCTGCTGCTATCAAGCCCCCATTCAGCTAGCGGTACAGTTTCCTATGCCCTAGATGCTGCATGCTATACATTTGACCACCCCAGAGCCCATGGCCTAACCAGAAGAGCGATTCGGGGATTTCGCGCTCATGGCCCCATGGAGTTCAAGATTGCTGATGCAAGAGTCGGATGCTGAGATGTGAAAAATCTGAGGTCGAAATGATTAATGACCATATCCCTTGATGTATAACATTCATTTGTACTACAATACAAACCAAAACCCTGCTAGAATTATTAAGGCACCTATATCATGCAAGTTGAGATTTTGGCAGTGCAATCGTCGTTCCTGAAAGGCCTAGGAGTCAAACCTCACGTTTCGGGTTAAGTTTTAGGACGTGTGCGGTTCTGTCGGTGTGTTTTGTGGCTTAGGGGCTTTTATGGACTTTAGAGTTTCTTGGGTTGGCCTTTAAACACCCTGAAAAATATTTATATATAGGGTCCCTTATAAATCCAAATAAGGAAAATAAAAAAATGTCCCAAAATCCAACCTGGGTCTTGCAGCTTTGGGCTTGCTGGCTGGGAGCTTAAGGCTTGCAGGACTCTCAACCCAAAATCTGAGTGTAGGGCTACACTTTACGTTTAGACGACGGGATGAAGGATCCCGAAACCCAAAAGTGTGAAATCCCTGTGATGTAGGGCCCAGAGGGTTTGGGGTGTTTCGATTATGGCGGGTGGAGCTCCAGCGATTGGTTGCAAGTGCCTTGCCCTTCACAGAAAGTCTGGGTACCTCCAGCTTATTACTTGAAGGCTCATGGGACTTAGTAAGTCAGGTTATAAGTAGGTTATAGTTCGGATAACCCCACTTAGGGGACTTATAACCCCAATTATAACCTACTTACTAAGTCCCAAGACCCTCTAAGTATTATTCGCACAGAGATGTCGACTCTCATCTTCTGCTGCAGCAAAACTCAAGAGAATAACAAAAATCGGGAGGGTTTAGGGTTTAGGGGTTTAGGGGTTAGGGTTTAGGGCTTGAGCAGCGGCATACTTGGCGATTAGCAGGTTGCCGCAACATCTGGCGGCGAGCGTGTGAGTCGCAGCTGCCTTGAAAGGGTACTATAGGGTTCCTGTATCCTGTATACTTTATAAGGCATGTGGTTAACACAACCACAACTTTCGAAGTCCCTGCACGCTGGGCCGCTGGACCGTACAAAAAAAAACTGAATAACGCCCCAAAAGATCTACACCCTCCGCCGCAGAACCTAACGATCTCAAGCCCTAAGAGCTAAACCCCAAGCTCCAAACCCGAAAAGCTAAACCCCAAGACGCTAGAGCCCTAAATCCTAAAAAAATGAACCCTAAACCCTGAATCCCCAAACCCTACACCCTGAAACCCTAAACCCGACCCCCAAAACCAGCTGATCTCCCTCCACGAGGGGCCTCAAGCAGCCGGCAGCGCTTGTCACGCTCCACCTGCAGAACCTTCCCAGAGAGCTTCTAGAGTTACACCCTTTCGGTCTTAGAGTTGGGAGTTTCAGGATTGAGGAAGGTACCTTAAGGCTCAAAGTGTCGATTTCGGGTTCTGGATTGCTGAAATACCGAGAGGTGTGCGTACTGTATAACCGAACTCATCCGAAGGTTCAAAAAACACTAAAGTCATTATGTTAATTAGAAGATTGCATGTTCTGCTTTTCTTGAGTTTTTGAAGGGTGTAGAAGAAAAATCGAGAAGCACCGCCCTTGCTGCATCGATGGGCTCTAGACTCTAAACCCCAGAGCTTAAACCCCAACCACTCAAGCCTAAAACCTTAAACCCTAAACCCTAAACCCGTAAACCCCTAAACCCAAAATAAACCCATGGATCTCTTGTTAGGGCTCAGGAATCCTGAAACCAGGCTTTAAGGGTTTAGAGTTTAGTGTTTAGGAGGGTTTCTGCCATAGATCCTGAACGCTGAAAACGAGCCCCGAAACCTTAAATCTCACCACGGGAACACGGCAACCGAAGTCTTTACTTAAGCCTAAGGTAACGGGCTGGAGATGACGGGTCTGTAAGTGGCTTCAGAAGCTGTCCAACCCTAAACCCTAAACCCTAAACCCCTAAACCCTAAACCCTAAACCCCTAAACCCTAAACCCTAAACTTAAGTTTAGGATGCTTAGGGCTTGAGCACCGTATAGCTCGAGATTGCAGGCTCAACTGCATTTTGCATGTAATGTTCCTGTTCGAGCACGAAAAAACCAATCTCTGCAAACGGAGCCGGGTCCTGAGGCGCAGGCGAGCGTCTGAGATCCATCCTTCATGGCGAGGTTTCCGAAGTGTGGGTTTTTCGAAGTGTCGGGTGGGAGACGACACTTCGCAAAAATCCAAGCCCGGGCCTCTCCCAGTGAGCTAAGCAACGGCAAACACGGGCCAGGAGCCGAAAGGCTTCTTGCCGGTGGAGGAGATGACTTGCAGCTCTCAGACCAGAGTCCAAAGGCAAACCCCAGTCGCCCAATCCACGCGCCCGGCGAGAACATCGGAAGGAGGGCCACGGACGATGCTGATCGGCTGTTCTAGAAGGCGCCCTGTGCCATGAAACGTCGGCTAGGGCTAAACTCCCGTAAACCATGCATGTAGCCGAAAAAACCCACCTTCTAGGGTTCCATATGGTGCTTCCTATGCACATAAAATACATATACACATATATATATATATATATATATACATATATATATATATATAGAGAGAGGGAGAGAGAGAGAGAGAGAGAGAGAGAGAGAGAGAGACAGAGACAGAGGCAGAGACAGAGAGAGAGAGAGAGAGAGAGTTCCTTTAAAATTACGAATTTTGCGCCAGAGGTAAACACTAGATCCAAGCCTGGTGAAGCCCTGACAGCCCAATAGCCTCTTCCAGCAGCTGCAGCCGCCTGAACATGTTCTGGTTCCTTGGCTGCTGTGTCAGGGTTTACGTAGGGATTTGGGGTTTAGGGGTTTGGGGTTTAGGGTTTAGGGGAAGGTTTAGGGGTTTAGGGTCTAGGGGTTTAGGTTTAGGGTTTATACAAGGACTCTCTCTACACGCACGTATTGTAAATACTTATTAGAGTGAGGAACCGCAAGGAATCGTATTGGTAACCACACAACCGAAAATACGGGTCTGTCAAAGGCCTCCGCGGCAAGAGCCCTCAGTGCTCAACCAAAGCTCATCCAATCTAGTCGCTTCGGATGATTTTGGAAACACACGAAAACACTATCCTTGGGGCCTTCATAATTAAAGCAAGATTTTGGGGGTGTAGTATACGGTAACTATGACACGAGCAGGCATTAAGCCCTAAACACACTGCTCAAACGGTGCCCAGATGCATGCTCTGCTGCAAAGCCAGCCTTGCAGCATGAGGGTGCAGGATTTAGCATTTAAGTTTCAGGGCTTGGGGCTGGGAGTGTAAGTCTAGAGCTCGGGCTTAAGGTTGAGGCGTAGGACTTTAGGGTTGAGGGCCCAGACTCATCATACCATGCGGACACCAAACAAACCGCAGCACCAGATCCTTGAGATTCCATGTGGCCGCCAAGGCATTGACGACCGCACCTCCTTCGGTCTGTTTGCAACAAACACTGCGCCACGTCGCAGACGCGGATCACTGCATCACTACCTGACACAGCGGTCGTCCCATCTCTAACCTCAATTGCGTTAACCGTGATCTGAGCTGCATTGAATATTGCTGGTGTAGCAGGCTCACGCAAGTCGCAAGTGCATTCATGATCCTACCGAAACCAACACCGACAGCCGCAGAAGTAACCACAGTCACCCCGTCTGTCGATTTCGTGCTGCGACGCACAGTCTGCAACAACAACGTGTTGTTGCTGCCTTGCGATAGAGCTTCCAAGAACTTGGCTACTCCTAGTCCTACCATGTCCTACCGATGGAAGAGTCGCCCATCCCGGTTCTGAGATAGCTCGTAACCATGCCAGAGGGAACATGAATGGCGCAGTCGGCTGTATGAGCCGGTTTGGGTTTGTTGCTTGACATATCCCATCTCCGGCATGTGTCGGCCTCACACTAAGGTACATCCTGTCAGAAAACAAGTTTCAAGGCTTGTGGTGTAGGGTTGAGGGGTTGGGCCTTAAAGTATCAGCTACCCTTACACAGCAGCCCTTCCTGTATTGTAACTCATATGGTAGCCTTTAAAGCAAACCCTAGTCTAATTAAGGGTTGACATGGGATTTTCCAAAAAATAAGGGACCCTAACATAATACCCTAAATAGTAGGCTCCTTATTATAAGGACCGCAATATAAGGTTCCCCCAATTTTCGGAAACTCCCATATGTCGACTTGGGAGATGTATGGGCTTACGGTGCATGGTTTAGGGCTTGGGGTTTAGGGCTTTGGGTTTTGGGTTTAGGGTTTAGGGATTTGGGTTTTGGGATTTGGGTTTAGGGATACCTCATCATCACTTATGGGGCCTGAACATAGGAAGCCTCCGTACACACCTCCACAGCCCTAAACTCACCAACTCCAATGATGTCCCGAGTCTAAAGACTATATTCCTTCACTCATGACCGGGATCTTCCTGTAACCAGAGGTATTGGAACCTCTGGCAAGCGGAGTAGTGGGCTAGACCCCATATATCTGGCATGCCCCAGCAATACCCCTTGAAGTACCCCCTAATCTGCGACTCTTCTGCCTCCAAGTGTAGATGAGTTCATGTAGCAAACCCCTCATCTACACCGAAATTTCCTAAGGCCAGAACCCTAAAACCTCTCCGAAACCCTGAACCCCAAACCCGAAACCCGCCAATACAGGCGCCTTACTGATTAGAATTGGGTTTTGGGGCCCATTTTGCCATAATCATAACAAGGAACCCCCATAATAGTATAGGTGAGTATTGAGGCCCCTATATTATGTCCCTCTAAAACCCCTTTCTAGTAATCCTTATCGGCCCCTTTAAAAGGAACCCCCCAATTCCCTGAGGCAACTTCGTCTCTCGGCGCCTGGATTCGAGCTCAGAGATCCGTTGCTCTGTCCTGGCTGAGACGGGGAGACCCCAGCATCCCTCGAACCCTCGAAGATTTCAGGGTTTCGGGCAGTTTTGGGGGTTTAAAGTTTAGGCTGGTTCCAGGTGTAGGGGTTTAGGGTTCAGGTTTTTTTTGGGTGGTTTTTGGGGTTTAGGGGTTTTAGTGGTGTTTAGGATTTAGGGGCTTAGGGTTAACGGGGTGCTGTCATTTCATGTTCAATAGTCTTGAGCTTGAGGCTTTACGACTCGGCAGTGAGACTGTAGGTGCTTTCGGGATTGGAAAAAGAAGCCCTCATGACCCTAATGTGGAAGCTGTAAAGGTTGGCACGGTTTTTTTTCGGGGGGTACTGGATCGTATAATCATCTAGGGGCTTTCTTGGGATAATGTTTCCTATCATGTGGGCGTCTGAATTAAGCCGTAACTCTTGAACCATGCGAAGCCCTCAGCCGAAAACCCTTCACTACACCCTGAACCCTAAACCCAAAGACCCTAAGACCCCAAACCCCAAAGACCCAAAGACCCTAAACCCCTAAGACCCTAAACCCTAAGACCCTAAACCCCAAGACCCTAAGACCCCAAACCCCAAACCCTAAGACCCTAAACCCCCAAATCCCCTAAGACCCTAAACCCCAAATCCCCTTATTTAAACCCCAACCCCCAAAATCCCCTTTAAAACCCTTAACCCCCAAATCCCCCTTTAAACCCCAAACCCGAAAGCTGCTGGGGCTCCGGGCTCGGCTTTGTCCAGGGCCACATCTGCTCGCTCGCAGATGGTTCCATGAAGCCTCGTGACTCTGGGGCTTTAGGGCTTTTTTGCTGGCTTTAGGGTTTTTTTCTGGCTTTATCAAATTTCTGGCTTTAGGATTTTTTTTGCTGGCTTTAGGGTTTTAGGCTGTAGGGTTTCGGATTTTTGGGTTTTGGGGTTTAGGGCTTGGTTTGGGGGCCTACTTACAGGATCATGAGATTTAGTAAGTAGGTTGTAATTGGGGTTATAAGTCCTCTAAGTGGGGTTTTCCTAAACAAAACCTACTTATGATCCCATTTACTAAGTCCCATGAGCCTTTCGGTAGACCCTAAACCCTACACCCTTAAAGGGACCTTTCGGTAGACCCTAAACCCTACACCCTTAAAGGGAGACCTGCTATTCCTCTCAGCGTTCGTCCCCAGCCATTTGCCAACGGCTCCACTCTGTTCAGGTTAACTCCCACCTCTGGGAGCAGACCCCCTGAGAGCCCAATACCCCTTAATTAAGGAATATAGCTTCAGGGTTCCTTAAAGGGATCCTTAAAGGGATTTATAGGTTTTAGGGTTTAGGGGAGTCTAATATCCCTTAATTAAGGAGTAGAGCTTAAATTCTAGTAGGATCTCTAATATGATTTAAGGCATATTCCTTAATTAAGGGGTATTGGGCTCTCTGGGCCCGTCAAGGCCGTTTACTGGGGTTGCTTGGGCTCGTTGCCTCTCTGCTTGACCTTGGCATGCCTTCGTTCAATCTCAGCCTGGGCTTCTATCTGGGCCGAGACCTCGGTCAGCTTATCAACCGCCTCCTCGAATTGCTTCTTGATGGCCTCTGTCTTCGCTTGCAACTTGACCTTCTTCGCAAGGAGATTGCAGTGCCGCTGCGTTGCCCAGTTGTAGTCCTGCATGCACCGAGCGAGCTGCTGTGCAGGCGTCTTCTCCCTGGCTTCTTCTGGAGGGGGAACCCCTGCCTCCCTTAAAGGCTCATAGGACTTAGTAAGTAAGGTTATAACTACGTTATAATTAGGATAACCCCACTTAGGGGACTTAGAACCCCATTTATAACCTACTTACTAAGTCCCATGATCCTCTAAGTCCTGAGCAGCTCCTGCGCCGGCGGATCGCGTTCTCCGATAGGGCTGCGACTGCATCTTTATACTTGGGAGTTTCCGAAAATTAGGGGTACCTTTCATTGGAGTCCTTATATTAAGGATCCTACTATACTATATTAGGGTCCCCTGTTTTCGGAAAGTCCCACTTATCCCCCGGCCATGGACCAGGCCCGGTGGGGATTGCAGCATATCAAAGAACCCTATAGTAGACTTAAAAGGATCCCTAAACCTTACTTGCTAAGTCCCATGAGCCTTTTGGTAGGGGTTAGGGATTTTGGGGTTTAGGGCTTAGGGACTCTGAAAACACCTTTGAAGAGGCCTGAGTTGCAAGCTGATAGCCCCCGTGTGAATATGTCCGAACCCAAATTCTGCAGGCCCAAGCCCAAAACCCTAAAACCCTGAACCCTAAAACCCTGAACCGTGAACCCCAAACCCTAAACCCCAAACCCTCAACCCCAAAGCCCCTAAAACCTAAACCCTAAACCCTACAGCCCCTGAAGCCTAAACCCCAAAACCCTTAACCCGTTAACCCGACGCCCGGAAGCCCCAAACGTCCTGAAGCCCAGCCCAGGCGAGCCTGTGCTGGTAGTGGCTCAGGAGCCTTTCGAGCACTTCGGAGCCGACCTCTGCTGCCACGTTTAGAATAAGGAACCCCCCAAAAAATACGGTTAATGATATAAATCCTGCATTACCCATGACAAGGAATATACCATACTTCCCATAGTTTAAGGTAAGGTAATGCAGGATTTATATCATCAACCGTAGTATAGGTAATTTCTGTGATCTCTATATTACAGAACCCGTAGAGAGGTTCGGCTTTAGGGTTCTTAGAGGGGTTAAGGACGTAGTAAGTAAGGTTATAAGTAGGTTCTATTTATATAGGATAACCCCACTTAGGGGGCTTATAATCCCAATTATAAAGGGGTTTAGGGGTCTTCCAGGCCCAAGCCCTTTCTGAACCCCGGCGAAAGTAACGAAACCAGAAACTTCAATGAAACCTCAAGCCTAAACCCCGAACCCTACAAGCCCTGAACCCTAAAGCCCTCCTTGAAAACTGCCGAGACCCCACGGTACAGCCCTAAAGACCCTGAAGCCCTAAAGACTAAAAACCCTGCAGCTAGCCCTGAAGCCCTAAACCTACGCAAAGGTTCGTGGGACGTAGTAAGTAAGGTTATAAGTAGGTTCTATTTAGAATAACCCCCTTGGGGGGCTTATAATCCCAATTATAACCTACCTACTATGTCCCATGATCCTCTAAGTAAGCTCAACTCCCCCTTAAAGAACCCTTATAGATCCCTTGAAGGAACCCTATACTTACTAAGTCCCATGATCCTATAAGTAGCCCGAGAGCCAACCATGGCCTCCGTTTCAGCACCAGGGAACTCCACGGCAGCCATGGTTTCACGCGCCAGGAGGTTTAGGGCTTGGGATAACAGTTCAGGGTTTAGGGTTTAGGGTTTAGGGTTTAGGGTTCAGAAGTTTCGGGCTTCAAGGGTAGGGGATCTATAGGGCTCAAGACTCAGCTTCAGCGGGGCTTAGATCTTGGACTGTGAGGTCTAGGGCTCAGGTTAAGGGGCATTGGATGGCCTTGGTTTTAGGTTTCGGACAGTGGGCTTCACGGTTTAGGGATAAGTTACCCTAAACCCTAAACCCTAAACCCTTTTGGCTTCAGGGTTTAGGGAGAAGTTAAGCTTAAGGTTTGGGAGTTTCCCGGTTCAGGGTTCCAGGGTCAGGGTGGAGATGGGTAGAGGGTAGAAGCTGTCCCCACCCTGTAATAGTGACTATAAGGATTATATTAGGGCCCTACTATATTCCTACCATACCACTATTACAGGGTGGCAGCAGCTTCTAAGGTAGAGGGTAGTGGTATTTTACTTTGAGACAACGCTGAAGCAATGACTAAGGTGCGACAGTAACAGTGGAAATAATAGTCAAACTACCATTGCAGCAATGACCACAATACGGACCGAAACCCAGGGATGATAGCATTGATATAACCAGTATGAAAAAATGCATGTATGAAATGAACATTGGCTACATTTTTGTACTGCATCATCTTCTGAATGGCGGCTGCTGGGGGACGTATGGTTCAATGTGAGGGTACAACTCTGAACATACCTGCTGCACTAGGCTCAAGCCAACTTTGGGGGTGCAGACATGGGGTGCATGTAAGGCAGATCAGCTAGTGATCCGTGCCATTACTGGGAGGTATGTGGAGCAATGTCTACATTCCCACCTTGATGCTCACCAAACCTGGCCAAGCTAAACCCTAAACAGTCTGTTAAACAGTGGTAAGCTGTACTTAAAGGCTCATAAGATGTAGTAAGTCGGCTATAATTTGTTTGCACAACGCCACTTAGGGGACTTATAACCCCAATTAAAACCTGCTTACTAAGTCCCATGGTCGTCTAAGTAACCCTAACTCCCCCTTATAGAACCCTTATAGATCCCTTAAGGGAACCCTTTAAGGAACCCTACACTTACTAAGTCCCATGATCCTCTAAGTAAAGGGTGTATGAGCCGTGGCGGCCATGGGTTCCCAAACACCCGCAAGCCTCCGTGAGACCCCGAAAAAATCCCAAAGCTCTGAACAGTAGGGGGTTTCCAAAAATAGGGGACCCTCATATTGCGCCCTAAATAGTAGGATCCTGATTATAAGGACCCCAAAAGAAGGCACCCCTGTTTTCGGGAACTCCCAGTACGACCCTTAAACTCTGAAACCCCAAAACAACGGCTGGGGAGTGGAATTGTATGCTTGATGTGTTCCTCAGGTTTATGCTTCGGTTTCGGTCTTCAGCATTTAGGGCCGGGCGTGCGGGACATGTACATTGCAAGCTGTATTTACGATTCTCCGCTGCCGATGCATAGCAATCGGGTGTGAGACAGTGAGACGCGAGATATATGCCCTGGTTGAACCCAGAACCCCCAAAACCCCTTAATTAAGGAATATACCTGAAATTATAATAGGATCCCTAGTATGATTTAAGGTATATTGCTTAATTAAGGGGTTTTGGAGGCTCTGGGAAGCCCAGAACCTTGAAGCTCTCACCCCAAAATCGCAGAACCCTCGACTTTCGACGTCTACTTTGCGACCTAAAACCTGGAACTCCATGACGCCGAAACCCTGAAATCCAATAACCGGGTTGTTGTCAGTATTAGGGTCCCTGTTTGAGTCCTTATTATGATACGGCACCTCATATTTAGGGTACCCCGAAAGGGACCTTAATTTTGACAGCCACCCAACCTGAAACCTAAACCTTTAGGCTGCATGCATGGTCACCGTGAAACTTTCTTCTCCCAGCGGCCGGGGTGACGGCACGACCTTTTGGCGGGCATTTAACAACCAGGATACCCAGTAACCTAAGAATAAAAAGGCCTCTCTTTTTGGTATTGGGTAACTTTATAAGGAACCTAGGACTACAAAAAGGGAATAAGGGTACTACTGGGCATCCTAGACATAGTGGTCGGAACAGTATCCCCTTATGCTCGCTTATCCTACACGACACCCCGAAGTCCTGTTTTCATTATAAAGGCTCCTCTATGATAGCTCGGGACCTTGGGCGAGAAGGAGGACTTGGCCCACCACCCCTCAAGCCGCAGCACCCTCAAGCTCGAAACCCGAAACCTTCAACCCCTTAAGCTCTCGACCCCCTCTGGGGCCCTAAACCCTAAGCCATCATCCGCTGCATGACCCTTATGAGCCTTTTTGACACCCTGTAGGACCCATATGAGCACCTCCACAATCGAACCTATAACCCCTCTAAGGGTTGCTCTAAGGTCTATCCAGAGGGGTTTGCAGGGTTTTAGCATCGGGGCCTTAAGAATCGGGTTTCGCGACAGATTGCATTATAAGTAAACTAAGAACTTCAGCAACCATGGACAAAACAAACTGCAAGACTAACCACCATCACTAACCCAGGACGACCAAACAATAACGGCCCTTTACACCTGGACTACGCATATGCCAGGAACTGAGGCGCCGACTGTGCTGTGGGCTCACTAACGGCCCTAAACCGTGAACACAAAAAGCTGAGCCCTATATAAGCCCTAAACCCATTCGCAGCGCTCAACCCCAAACCTCAAGGGCGGAGCGTCACCACCAAAACCAGGCGCAAATCTTGTTTGATAGGGTCCCTAAAAATTGGAATAGGATTATGGCGCATATGATGGCACAATTTTCATGTTGCACTATAAAAGTATCGGAAATGCCAAGCATGACGAGACCCTGCAAAAAGAAATTCCAAACCACCCTAAACCGTAGTGTAGGGACCTTGTTGACTAGAATAAAGGACTCCTTCAATTCAAGGGCCTCAATAATTACGACAGCGCTTCGGCTGCAAATTATAGTATAACTATTAAGACTTATTAAGAAACCAAAGGAAGAATACTGGTAATTCAAACTCAGTCAGGACTCTATATTAGACCCTAAGCCCTGAACCCCCACCGAGTGGCACAAGCTGGGAGCGCCGTAGGTGGATCCTACATCTTCTCGATCTGCTCTTTGACCTCAAGCGGGGTGTAGGGTTTAGCGTAATATAGGGGCCTTAATAGTTAGAATAGGGTTTTGGGGTATAGTATACTACAACTATAATAAGGAACTCTAGGAACAAAAGTTGTAATTATTCAGGTCCCCAAAGTATGGACAGTTCACGATTTTAGGCAGTCGTCATTTTTAGAATAGGGTTTTGGAGTGACGGCATAGTATAGCTACCTCAATGAAAAATTTTGTAGCTATTTAGCCTACAAGAGTCAGGGTCTGAGGTTGAGAAAAACCTGCCCGTCACAAACGCAGGCTCCACGGTGACCCTTTCAGTTCAAGTTTGGGGTCTAAAGGCAAGGAGCTGGGGCTCAGCGTCCATGCTTGCTAGGGCTGCAGCCGGCCGCTGATCTGTGGATGCTGTTGAGAGGAGCCCGGAACATCATAACAAAGGGGCTTTAATGATTATGATAGGGTTTTGGGGCATCGTATACAATATGTGTAGCGGGACCCTACGGAAGAATTGTACTAAGTCTTATAGCTTAAGTAGTCAGGCCGCAATGCTTTCAGTACGCCTACTACATAAACACCCAGCAAAATGCCTCACAAGCCCTGTATACACTCACCATACCCTTCTGAAAGTAGACTTTATATGCTTGTGACACCTTCCTACTTGTCGGGTATCATGGGGAACTAAAGGTTAACCTTTGTGGTTATATAGGGATTATATAGGGGCCATACTACCCAAAAAAGGTTCAAGGTTACCTACTCTACCACTACGCATTTACGTGTAGTACTGCTACCCCCTCAACCGCCATCAACAAAATGCTTCCTGCAATCGGCCAGAAGTGTAATATACTGTTGATGATATAAATCCTGCATTACCTTAAGGACCCTAAACCATGGGAACTATGGTATTTTCCTTCTTATGGGTCATGCAGGATTTTTTTAACATCAACCGTATGTTGGGGTTATAGGGCCACGGTTTCCTGATCAGGTTCCTACATTGCCCTGAACAAGTAGCAGTATTGGTCCTTAGGCCTCCTTATCTGAATCGTAGTATGAGAAGCCGCAACACCCTACTCTACTTGTCAAGCCCCTATAATTGTAAACCCTTTACCTGGTGCCTCCTTCTTCAGGGTCTTGATCCGGAACTCGACATCTTGCATCTGCGCGAAGATTCGGGTAAAGTGCTCGGGTTCGGTGTCGAGTGTAAGGCATCCAGGATTTCAGTGTTGGAGATGAACAATGCACCGAAGTATGCCCGGCACCTGGCTCCTAAACTGTCGTAAACGATGTCGTTCGAGTTTAGGGTCTAATCTTCGTGGGTCTGCCTTAAACCCGGAACCCTCCCGAACACAAGCGCTCGTAAGCCACGGTTTAGGGTTAAGGGGTTTGCATTTAGGGTCAAGAGTCTAGGGTATAGGGCTGAGGTTTTCAGCTTAGGGTTTAAGGCACGCCTGCGAGCATCCAAACTCCAAGCCCTGAACCGTACTGCATTACTGCCAATACCTGTTCTTCAAGCCCTGTACCGCCTAGCAAAACCGCTCAAACCTCCACCTCGAACCCTCGTGCTGGTTCTACGAAAAAAACCTTCCTCCACAAGCCTTGTGAAAACCGACAAGAGGGAACAACGATTGAACCACTCCGAAAAAACAGCGGAAAAAGACAGAGACACAGCCCAACAAATCCTTAAAGCAGTCATCCAAAGCCCTGATTCTAATTATTCCTAAACCCTACCTTAACCTACCAAACCCTACTTTTTGTAGGTTCTTATTATAAACCCTACTATGGAAGATATAGGGACCCTACAAAAAAAGGTAGGTTTTAGTAGGTTAAGGAAGACAAACCCCTAAGCCGCCACCCTAAACCCTAAACCCTAAAACCCTAAACCTTAGAAGGGGCCCCCACCCTGTAATA